GACATATTGAAGAACAGTCGGATTAACGAGCCTATCTTCTTTGGAAAGAACTTGTCTATAGTGTTGTCCATCAGAATAGATGACTATCACGTTTTCCGTCTTAGCACCGACAACAAAAACGTTTCCATAGTTATCTGCAGAAACTCCCAATGGAAAGCTTAGATCACTTTTATCATTGAAAGTCCATTTTATGTTACCTTGAATGTCACAACTGTTTACACAGGTCAGTGTTATTATCCGTGTAGAAAAGTTTCTCATCACATGTTGTAATGTACACACGAGATGCAATTTGGTTCGTCATTAAACGTGTCACGGATTCGTCTTCAATATTTATTAAATACAATCCATTCTGATCGTCACAATTTGAAAGAATAAATTAAGTTATTTTCTTTGAAAACAACTCAATAGTTTTTTGTTACTACTTTTAATGACATGATAAGTTTTCTGTTCTTTATGTCAATTATGTTAATTTGTCTTCAGTCTTCATGAACCCCAGTGGCAGCAGCAATAGAACCATCTTCAATATATGCAACGTGAAAAGCACGACCAATATTTATTGCAAACTCTTGTGAACCATCTGCTTTTAAAACTTTCAGTTTTCTTTCTATATAGCACTGGACCATCATCACTGTTTGATGGGGACGCTGTAAGAGTTTCAATATGTTCATGGCACAGAGACTTTTTTTGAAGTTATTGGCGGGGAAATTCTACGAAGTGTTGATTCAAAGGATATCGTGCTGACAATAAGACAAAAGCTGATAGAGGAACCACACCCACCCTGTCTAAAAAGTACTGGCGTTTGAACAGAGAACTTATTCCAGTTGGATCAGGTAAAAGTTAAATATACAAAAATATAAAAGTCTTTTGTCAGTGAAGACGAATAGATTTCTTTTTCAAACCCGCCACATATAGTAGCGAGGTATTTTATGATAACGCCATTTTCATTGACAGTTATGTGCCCACCTGTCCGTCCTTACCCGGTGGTTTCCAATTAATAAATTGAGAGCGTATCAAAGGATTTTTTAAGAACTTTGCACAAATGTTCTATAAAATACAGGGTCAGCTTGATTTTCAGCACACTCCCATTTGTAGTGTTTGAGCTGTGCTGTTTTAAACTTTTGCCATCCCTTTCTTACCAATACATGGTTTCCTGGCAGATGAAAATTTTAAAACAGATGGAAGGATATTTTTCAAACTTTGCACAATAGTGTAGTATTATAAAATACAGGTCAAGTACAATTTTCAGCACAATTCCATGTATTGTTTTTTTTAATTATGCTGTTTTGAACTTTTGCCATCCCCTGTTTTTTACAGATACATGGAGGGGTATCACTTAATGTCTCATTAATGCACTATTTTTGAAGCTTGACTTATGTCATGACTATTGAAGAGTTTTGGATGAAGAATAAAGAAAGGAAATAGGGAATGTTTCAAAGAAAAAAACAACCTGACCAAAAAAGAAAAAAAAAAAACAATTGAAAGCCAAGGTGACTCATGGGATGTGCAAGCATTCAGAGACATACTGTACAGTCTGTGACTTAAAACTCTTAATAAAAAGAATGTGGGAAAATACAATGTATTTATCAGACCCCGGTGCACCTGTCAAGATATTGATTATTTTGCAATCTCATTGTTTGTGAGCCGTTAAAACAAATACAACTAGCTTTTAAACGCTTAATCTATTCAAGTCTTACATTTAGATTTCTTTTTTCAACGCGACAGTATAAAAGTAAATGCGACAATAAAAACAGCTTGAAAAAAATAACATATAAACGATTACACAAGTACTTATATCTATCATTTCAATTGTTCACATTATACAAAAATGCATAATCATAGGCATTTGCAACTATGACTGTTTATATTGGTAGATCTGTCATAGTGCAAAGCTCCTGGATATGTTTTTCGATCAAATTTGTTTATGAAATAACTCATTATTCGAGATGACTGCCACATTACAAGACGCATCTCCCCATACGTATACACTGCCAATGTTGTCTACGGCGATACCATTTGGGGATTTCAAAATATCCACATCTTTCAATGTCCAAAATGCAGCTGCGTCTAATACTCTAACACAGTTTACACTGTTTGTTGCCTTGGAATCATCCAGTTTTATGAACCACCATGAATGTCTTCCTAGGCAAAAAGATGGAAAAGCTGTATTCTGTATTCATTACCTTCTTAAATAATTTTTCTCAGTTATTGTTACTATTCAAGCCTATTATTCTCTTTTCGTTGTATTTTAACATCCCATAATACTCTATGCTTTATTTTAATGCCCGTTTTCTAATGTTCTTAAGTTTCTTGCTCATTATTCTCTATGCGACAAACCCCATTCAGACCCTCTTAAAAAATAAAATAAAAAAAAACATCCCAATATCTATACACACAATAAGACATCATGCATTTTAGAGTGACTTGTATGATTCACTAAGACTATACTTTACCCACCATGAGTTGAGGTCTATTGAATTCTATTGTTCGATGAATCGTAATTTTTATTGCATACAGTCTAGTATGTAATATCAGCACATGAATAGTTGCAATACGCTTTTTACTGTTACTTTACGATTAAAGTCATTGGAAGTTGCAGCGACAAAAGGTATTGAAGACCATCTGATTGTTTAGGCAAAGAAGATATAACGAATCAACAGACTTCCAGAGCAACCATTATGCAGCACCACGCATATATTGCAAATTGAAACAAAATGATTGAATTTTCTGCGTAAGAAGCGCATATTTTGATTTACATTAAACAGGAACGTTCATCATGTTTTATAAAAAAAAATTAAATACAAACTCATTTAACTTTTCATAACAATACCATGAATACTATAAACATGATATACTTCTTTTCGTTTATCTATCAGCTTTTCAACGTTTCAAAAAGGTTTGGTTTCAAATGTTTTGAACTCGAACATTCATGAACAGACATTAATTATTAAAGTGCACATCTGGTGAAGTACAATTCGTACCGTTTGACATGATTATTCACTTATTTTGTCATTTCTTTTTTATCTTATCTATAAACGAGGGGAAATTAGTATTGTTAATATAAAGTACAATTGAAAGTAAAAATAGCACACAAAGGAAATATAACTTTTAAATTTAAATTTAAATAATCGAACTTTTTAAAGCTTGATAATTTAATGACGCATATTTCTCATATATATATATATATATATATATATTTATAAATAGTTGTCCTTGAACGATTGTTTACAAGTTAAATCAATAACGTATTAACAACTGGATACATTTAAGTTATTATAACTTCCTGTTTTGTATTAGTATTTAATAAGTCCATAATGATATAATATTCACGACATATAATAAAACGCAAAAAACATATTTAGTTGTAGGAAACCCCTTTCATACACTTACTATAAAAATGATATGACAAAACCAGGTAAACAACAAGCATGTATACAACACGTACGTTTTAAGGTTCATGTGGACCTTTTGGCTAATATGGCTGCATTTTCACCTCAAAATTTACTCTGAGTACAGAAAACATGTGTACCTTGAAAAGTTTTAAGGCATATCATGCCCTAAATAAATAAAATTCAAATATATTTTATGTTTTAGGAAATTAAAAACTTGACAGGATTTTGCCTAGCATTTTTTCATTCCTCCAGAAGGTGCCAAAAAAAAAAACTAAATTGTGAAAGAGGTTTGAGAACTTCCACACAGGTAATAATTGAAGTAAACTGTATTGATTGACATGGACTATAGATGGATAATAGATACCTGACAATAATTGATGATTTAAACTGTGTACCTGAGTGGACCATATCAAGTGAAACTCAACTGTTTGTTAATTTTATTATCTTCTGCAGGGATGAAAAAAGTGCACTGCAAAATCTAGTTCATTTTTAAATTTTCTAAAACATACAATGCATTTGAATTTTATTTATCTAGTGCATGCTATGCCTTAAAACTTTTCCAGATGCACAGGTTTGTCTGTACTCAGAGTAAATTTTGAGGTGAAAATGCAGCCATTTTAGTCAAAGAGTCCACATGAACCTTAAAACCAAATAAAACAAAATTCACAGAGACGAAACGCGTCTCGTTACCACACGTTTTGGAACTTACTGAATCAGATGTGTACTGAATAAAGCTTAAGTTTGGGAGAACATGGTTAATCTATTAGTTGTAATTGACTTTGAACTAGCTTTCAGTAAATGCGAGAACACTTAGATTCATACTATGTGTCTTTAACTGATCTCTACAGTTTGTTCTTATATGGTTTACTGTAACACCACCATCCCAGGGGACTTGTGAGCGAACATTTGTTAAACCCTATCACATTCTGTATTAATTTGACTGCTCAAGTTTGGAGTCCGCTTTTCAATGATTGTTGTAAGTTTTGTCTGTTATATTTGTTTTTCGATTATAATTGTGTCATAAATTAATTAGTTAGTTTCTGTTTTGCATTGTTCCATATTTTGTTATTTCGGAGCCTTTCAAAACTGACTAAAGGAATGTGTTTTACTCATTGTTGCATGTCGTACGGTGACTATACTTTACATCAACGTAATTTGGACGATCGTTGGGAATCTTACCACATCTCATTTCTGTTATATTGAAACTGGTATCAAATTAACGCAATGCGTTTGTAGTGATATATATCACTGTTGTCCTATATAATCCCATGTCTTCAGCACTGAGTGAAGTCATAATGACATACAGTTTCGGGTAATTTAATAAGCTTTGGATTTTCAAATATTTTGGCCTCGATCATCACTGAAGAGACATTGATTGTCGAAATACGCATCTGGTGCAGAAAAGTTGGTAGCGTTTGTGCTATTACAGATTAACTTAGTATTTGAATGATGATCAACATACTAGTATGTCATTTTTCTCTGGAATGCAGTTTCTGTACATTCTAAGATAAAGAATAAATAAATATAAAATAACTGGTGCTTTTACATTAAGGGTGTCTGCTAGAGTTCAGTGACGTTTTGGTATTAGGTACTTAAATTGGTGATCTCATGCATTTTTATGAAATTTTATTTTGCAAGCAACTAGAGCATATTTAACTGCGTCACCTATTTATTATTAAAGTTTTACTTTTAGACAATATAATAGTAAATGCAAGAATAACGATAGCATGAAACACATATAAGCGATGACACAAGTACTAATATCTTTCATATCAATTGTTCACGTTAAACAAAAATGCGTAATCATAGGAATTTGCAACTAACAGTTTATTGGTAGATCTGTCATAGTGCAAAGCTCCCGGATATATCAATCCATCCTCTTTAGATAAAAGTTGCTTATGAAATAATCCATTATTTGAGATGACTACCACATTACAAGACGAACCTCCCGATACATATACACTACCAATGTTGTCTACAGCGATACCATTTGGGGATTTCAGAACATTCTCATCTTTGAATGTCCACACTGTCCAAGATGCGTGCTCACCTGTTGCAGTGCATGATGTTCCAATGCAGGTAACACTGTGAGTTTTCCTGTCTGTGTAGTATATTGTATTACGTAGTATTGCCATGTAGGCATGGGGCGACATTTCAGTAGCGATAACATTATTAATGAATTCTTCTTTCAGATAGATCTCCTGTATTCCAAGCTTTCCAGCACAGTAACATAAGCAATTGTCATTGAACAATGCCGCTCCAAGACTGTGTGAATTTACGTTAATTCTTTTCTTCACTTTCTTATTCTCGATATCAATTATATATATCTGTCTTGAATAGCTTTCATCTCCCGACGTGACAACTAGGGAATCATTCCCTATAGAAACTACATCACAAAGAGGACCAATATTTTTCATTTCTAAATCTTCAGATCCATCTGACCTAAAAACTTTAATTTTTCCCCAATGCGAACACGTGAACACCATTCTACCATCGGAAAGCATGGAACAACCATTGACATTTGCCAACATTGTGTAAATCTTGCGTTCTAAGGTGAGTGTTTTATTATAAAAACTTCTGGTTAGTTCAGATTCTTCAGCATTTAATGAAGTGACATGTTTTTCTGTTTCTTCAGATACATCAGGTCGCTCTTTACATTCTTCATAAAAACCGTTATTGCAATCTTGGCACCCGGTTATGGATGGTTTATCATATTGTGTGGATTGATCACTTTGAAGTTGGTCGCAATCGCCAGAAATGTTACTTTTATTAGCCATAACCTGCAACTATAAACACAAATATAAAGTTGCATTTTATTCGAACAACGCCACCACTAATCGTCAATGGAGAAAATTGTGCAGAAATAATTACAGACCAGCAACATAGGGTAGCTATTCTAAAATGTGTTGCTTCACACCAACGTCATTAGTTTGCATTTGACCATTAACCAAAGAGTTTTTGTTCTAACGCCTAAACATGTGCGAGCGGATTAACCGGAACGGCAAATTTACATTTTTTTAGATGTTGATTCAGTCGAGCCCGGTAGTGTTGCATAATTTGCTTATTCACATGTTATTTAATATAAAATAACCACGAAAAACTACAGATAAAGAACGCTTTTCTTTAATGATATTATATGTATCAAATAAAACCGATTTGAGTGTCTGGGAAGCGTGTTTTGTTTTGCAATCTCAATCATGTACGCTTGATGCTAAAAAATGGTGAAGCAAAATACATAACAGTCGATCTGTATATGATGTCTTAGTTTCTGTATTCTTTAAAGCTTTGAAACAATTTCATTCTCAATTTTTTTTCACAAAATCCATTATTCTCTATTTTTTATGTTTTGTCCATTATGGACAGACCATTATGCAGTAACTCGCTTATATATATATAAAGATTAAACGTGATGATTGAAATTTTCGGAGTCAGTAGCGAATATCTGAATTGACTGTAAACAAGAACTTCATGGTGTCCTTTATCAATCAAAAACTCCTTTTAAATATACACACATGTAAATGTCTGTGTGTCATTAATTTCTCACGCGTGAACACCGTTTTATAACACAACCATGACAATACGTTGGTCCGTTCAATTATATCAGCTCTTCAATGTTTCTACAAGGTTTTAATTTTCAATGTTAGGATTCCGCCAGTTTCTGCTTGATACCTTGATTTATCTCTTCTTTATCGATCTACGAGATTTGAACATTGATAATATACTGTAACCCTAATTTTCTACTTCAATCATTAAAAACTAATTATTGAAAATTATGAAGTGGACATCTGAGGCAGTAAATTTCGTACCATAACATGTGATTGTTCATCAATTTTGTTTTTAATTCTATTTCAATACACAAAAAAAGTATAACAAAAATACCGAACTTTACGAGGAAAATTTTAAAACAGGGAATAGATATAGGAAGATGTGATATGAGTGCCAATGAGACAACTCTCCATCCAAGTTACAATTTATAAAAGTAAACCATTATAGGTCAAGGTACGGCCGTCAACACGGAGCATTGGCTCACACCGAACAGCAAGCTAAGTCCATAATTACTGAAACAATCAAACGTTAGACTGTATCAATCTACGGAACAAACGGAAAACAAATGTCATATTCTTGACTTATTACACGTATTTTCAGACGAAAATGGTGGTTTAAACCTAGCTTTATAGCTAGCTAAATCTTTCACATGAATGACAGTTGTTTACAGATCCATTTATTGATAGAATTTGGTGAGAGACCCAAAGAGACATTATACGTTAATGTAAATAATTATGAAATGAAATATTACAAAACAGATAAGAAAATTAAAAAATGTCACACATAGAAAATTTAATTTGTAAATGTAAACTTTCGTTTTTAAATTTAAGTAGAAAAACTACATACCTTTATATCTCTCGATACCTTTAAAGCTTCATATATAACAACAGTGAGGATATATATGTATATATATAAATACTTACCTGTCCTTGAACATTTGTTTACAAGATAAACAAACTAATGACGTTTTAAAAACTGGATATACTTTCCTGTAATATTTGTAAAAACATCCTGTAATGTTTGATATTTTGTAAGTCCGTAAAAATATTTACGACACTATATATAATACTTAAAAATATGATTGGAAGCATAAATCTTTTATACGAAATTTAAATTACAATAAAAATAATATGACAATGTCATCCAAGACAATCGGGGAAACAGAACAAAATATTTACCATATCCCGTTTATTTTTACTAGGGTACGTTACGTTATAGGAGGGTCTTCTTTTTTTAAAAGACGTTAAATGACTTTTTTAAATAATGATAAAAGTTGAACAGTACATTTTTTTAAGAATATCGCATAAGGGACAATTATCATTTACCAAAATAGCTTTATAAACTAAATTGCCAAAAACCATTTACTTGTTTAGAATTGACTCTGTTAGATAATTCTTACACTTATTTTGAATTCTAAATTCTTAACCAAATTAAACAGTTTTGTAACAATGATTTTTTTTAAATTAGATAACAGTTCAGTCATCTGAAAGAAGCACAGAATAAAAATCATATAGTTTATCAAAACAATATTTCTAAAACAAATGAATTTCTCTTTTGTAATTGTTTGACTCATGCGTAAAGTTCCGCCACAAATGTTACATGCACTTTCAGAACGATAAACCATTACTGTATTTGAGTTCTAAACCGACAAGCCGATCCGTAGTTTTAGTGCTGGCGAACGAGGTGGCCGTTCAGGAGATTTCGTTTCCAAAGCCAACCAGAACAAAGAGGCAGTTCACTTCTTTTCCTTTGGGTGTTAAAAACGTGAAACTATTTGATAACTTTGTAATCAGCAATAAGTATTGGCATATACAGAAGAAGCGTGTTGAAGCAACTGTTGGTCCCTCAGCTTAAATTTGATAATGATAGAGTATTATTTATTTATCAAATAGCATCTTTCAGATGATCACAAGACACAATCTGTCAGATTTAGTAATACTACGTTTTATTGTACGTACTTAAAAATTGCAAAGAATTAGATTCGTTCTTTGATAAAATTGGAAGTAAAAGAACTTTGATTTGATTATCAAAACTATGAGTATACCACTCTTCACATTTTGATCTAGTTTATGTGCATTTCCTTAAAAATATAAAATGAAAATGTTTTAAATTTATCTAGAATGACAATCAGGTACAGTTAATAGAAATACGATGATACTTATGATATCTGGGGTTTGAATATGATTGATACTGAAAGTCACTTTGAAGCACCTTAAAGAATCATGGATAAATCGAATGACAATTGCAGATATTGCCAGATGGCAACATATACCTTTCAAATAGTTCCAATGCTTAGGACAAAATTGTTAAGCATTCTATATGAATATGGATTATAACAAAGTTGATCTACATTTACCAAATAATCCTTAGTTTTATATAAATGTATTAAAATAAGATGAAAGCAGGAAGAGGACATATGGAGGAACCAAAACCTTTTTACAAGATTAGAAAACAAATTATTTAGGAAAATGAATACATTAGATTTGATCACAAAATTCTATGTTTTTTTTTAAAATATACATTTATAGATAAATACATGATATTTTTAATGAAAATTGGGGAATATTTCATAAGGTGTAATTCGACAAATTTGGAAACAAAACCAACTGGATAGCTGAGTTAACGTCCTTAAAAAAATACAACCCCAAAAGATTGGGAACAATGTCTTAGATCAAAGGAATCTGTTACAAGTAGAGTCAATATAAAAAGACAATGTTTGTCAAAAAGCGGCAATTATGTTAACCTTTCTTTTTTGTCAGATAAGTTATAATATTACAAATTAATTAAAAAAAGATTATGGGTGAATTTATTACCATTACACACTGAATTTCATTTTAAAACCATTGTACAGCCCTTTTTATTATTGTCATTTAGATAAAAATAATTGAAGATGTATAGGTGGAAACGCCTCAAAGTATACTACCTACAAACTAGTTATTGTTTAGATTGAAGGTAGTAAGCAATGATTTAGGCATTAAATATTTTACTGAAGAAGGTGATTATCAGTATTCTAAATCCTTTGAAAACAATTATATTAGATGCATGGGTTATCATTATTATTACAATGAAATTGTAAGTTATATTTATATTTCACAAAGAGCATGGACTTGTTGAAAATAATGTTACAAGCAGTTGGTGAAAATTAAGAAATCTTATTTGTGTTAAAATAAATAAATAAAAAAAAAAAAAAAAAACATTTGGAAGATTTCTGTTTTTTTTTTTTTAAATTTTGACTTTCTATGCCGGTTTTCAAGTTTTTACTAGTAGACAAAGTTGCATTTTAACTTCCGGTTCTACTTATAGCCATGCCAGTTATACTGAATGGCAGGCGGGATCATCGGGCACATATTTTAGATATCCCAATGATGACTGTGCTCAAGTTTGGATCAAATTGTCAATGAATAGGTCCAGACGATTTATTAAAGAAGGTATTTAAAAGGAAACGGACGACCACGACCACGACCTTTTGAATCAGACCACTTCAATGGGAGAGGAAAAAACGTACTCTCATACAAAATGTATTACATATTAAAGGGAAATCACACTATTTATACTACTAATAATAATTCATTGAAATTTCGCATGTAGACAGATCATATTTATTAAGATATTTTAGGCGAAAAAAAAATTGGGGTCACCGATGTTGTTTTCGAGATATGACGTCATCAAAACTTAAAGAATCGCGTTATAACGAAATATAGAAATACCGCTCTAAATTGTTAAAAAAAGACAAACTTATTGAAAAACTATGTTTAACTGGAATAACAAAAACAGTCAAATGTAACTTGTACCTTATGAACATTTATTTGTCTCGATTTCCTTATTTTTGAAGACATTTGAACATTTCCCGCCATTTTTAATTGCTATTTATAATAGATTTTTCTTGAAATAAAAAAAAATCTACTAATGTTTTTCCCTTCAAACTTCTGCAAATGTTGCAGCTTTAGGGAAGATTTTAAAAGCATAAATAAAAAAGGGGGGTCACCGATGTTTTAAATCCGCTAAAACGGAAATAATCTTAATTATTGAATTTTGGCGGGAACTATAACCTTTTAACGTTATAGAACGACGTTGCTGGCATAACAGCATTTCTTGCAACTCTTGGGTTGAATTAAACCTTTTCACTACAAAATATAATATCATTTTGAACATTTTTAAGGTATTTTGATTATTTATTGATATCTTTATCAATCTATCGAATCGTTAAACATAGATACAATAACAGTTTATTATAAAGTAATTGTCAAAGTTGAAGTCATCTCATTTTTTTAATTGCATTTGTTGTATGGGGAAAACGAATGTTTGCCTCATGCCGTATTATAGAAATAATTTTCGGCTTCCAGATAAAAATCTTCTACCTCGGAAGACTGAGGGTATCCGGGCTGAAAAGTAACACGTTCCTTTTAGACTGCAGGCAGAATAATTTCGTTACCATAATTTCACTAGCTTGTCCATTCGCACCGGGAAGATAAAACCTGAAATGCCGTGTTAAAAATGCCACAAACTCAGCACTTTAAAAGAAACCTATTTTCGGTAGGAATTTAAAATTGGTTCCGTAATTACACAACGCTTCATAATTTATTCGAACTGTGGAAACCAAATTTTCTTCTGAGTTCTATCATCCCGCACCCATTTTTCATACATCGTTTCATGTTCATTGTACATAATATGTTCAATGTTCATCGCCTGTGTATTAAAACTTTATGTACATGTATTACGTATATTCTATTACCGTTCGATTAATCGCTCAACGTTGGTATGTTATGAGAAATACAATGCATCTGATAATTTAGAGTTAATTGACAATAAAATACACATCGCCATATTGATATCAGGAACATATAATGTTCCCAGTTGATGTATTTAAAAAAATCTTTTAATTTGTAATAAACGGATCTAGTTTTTTTTCTTGTTCTGCTACATCTATCCGTGTTTCTGTGGACATGTGGTGCGTCCAGCACAAGGATAATAGTTACGCTGAACGGTGCCCACTGGTCACCCTATAAATAGTGCTCTTGTGTGTAGTAATATTGTAGTTCTAACACATGTCTAAAAATAGAAAGCTTAAAATAGACAATTCATCTTTCTATTTAGCAATACACCATAGAGCCTGTCACCGTCTGTATTATCTGTAAGTAAAATTAACATACCGAGCAATTGAATACAATGAATAACACAAACTTAAGCATATTAAGTTTAATTAAGTCATTCAAAGCAAAATAATTGTTTCATCCATTTTGCATGATTTGTCATTTGTGATGACACGTTTTTTTTAAATGTTCGAATCACAGACTAGAAGGATATATTCACCCTAAGACTCTAAGTAGAAGTAGATATAAAAAAAATTCACAAAATAAATAATTCACTAAGGCCGTGTTCACACCAAACGTCGTGTACAGTAAACATGTTTACATTTGGTTTAATGTAATGTACGCTAGTTTCACATTAAATTTGTTCACATCTATACACCTTGTTTAGTTACATGTACATAAGATTTGTTCACACTCGTAAACTATATGTCATTTAAATGTTCATTACGTAGAACCGAATTCAAATTTTCGAACAACTTTTCTACAGTTAATAAACGACCACTTAACTTTAAAAAAAAGGGGGGGGGGGAGGGGGGAATTTTTCCACAATTAGATTTAAAAAAAAAATTGAGACATTCAGACAATTATAGAATGAACAAATATTCTGAATCAAACGTTTTCCCATACATTATAGTGTTAAACATGTTAAATATAATATAAATTTGTACCATCGAAAAAAAACTAATTATAAACTTTCGCGCGAGAACTCAGAACCCCTCTCCCTTTTTTTTGAAGTAAAGTGGTTGCTCCTTTAAGAAAGTCATTTTGGATGATTTGCAGTAGTTTAAAGATGTCTCGATTACGCATTAAAAACGTAGGATTGCCATTAGCGTGCTTACAGACGAAGAAAAAGAATTGCTATGTTAAGGATCACTACATTTCTATCTCTTCTGTTTGTTTCAAGTGCTATTTTTTTTTATCCAAGGAGTATTTGTCAAAGGGAGGGGAGAATGTTTTTTTTATTATTTCTAATAGTATTTTAACGAGTCTCAGATACTACACAAACAAACAATTAACCTCCCCCTTTTTCAGTAATGCATTTATAAGTGAATCGCTGTTTGAGTATAAAGACCAGTGGCAAATATTTCTGTCAGTGTGTACGTCTGATCGATTCAGGAAGACCGTTTCAAATGAACTATGTGTTCTGCAAAGATGATAGATGAGTCTTGATTAAATCTTCATGTAAACATTAAGTTTTATCAATGGGAACGCAATTATGTTTAGTTAATGTGTGAGTTACACTAACACAACACCGAGTTTAAGTCAATGTGAACACGGCCTAATCTTATACATGTTGTTGATGATATTGATAATGTTAAGATAACTTAAGCAATGGATGAACTGTATTTTAATATTTTTTAAGGATAATGTTAGCTGTCATAAAAGAAAGAAGTAAAGGTAAGTTTTTAAATCAATTCTATATTTATCTTCAAGAAGAAAGGAAATGCTATTGATCTAGTGCCACCTTACAAACGGAAGACAAAAGTTACACAATACAAAGTTAGGGATTTACCTACTTTAGAGGTTTGATCAAGAGTACCAGAAGGTTCCATATTATGACATTTACTTTTAATAATATTTTTCAATGATTTATCTCTTGAGCTTGAGAAGGTTTCTTCTGATGTTATGCTGATCTTACAGTTTTATTTGTCAACTCAACCAGTAACATATTTATATGTATTTATGAATGTAGACATTTGTAATGTTGTTAGCTATATATAGTTGGTGTAATTATATTAAAATGCCATTGAACAGTATTAAGAGTAAGGTCACATTCTAATCGACTTAATCCTTTTAATTCAGGATTTAATATTTATATAATAGTTGGACCGCTCACAGGACAGTGGTATTGACTAAGGTAGCGATAATGACGCGAAGGCGAGGTCATTATCGCTGTCATAGTCAATATTACTGTCCTACGGGCAGTCCATGTATCACGATAATGACCAGTTTTTTTTGAAGAACTATTATGTTTATTTCATTGAGGAACTATGTTTTGAAAATTTTCATTAATTCAAAATGCCTAAAGCGAACTCGAGTAGTTGACGTACGATTTGTATGGCAGAGAGTGAAGACCAGTTGTAGGAATACTCCCATTCATTTTAGTGCAATTTTTCAGTATATAAATACTGAATCAAGTTCTCTTTAATTTTATTATTTACAAAAACAAATAATAAACAATTCAACAAATTAAATATAATATTAAAGAAAGGAACATGTTTTAAAAATGGATAAATCTCTCTAAACAGAGAAACCACGCCCCATTGGTCATTAACAGAGAAACCACGCCCCAACGGTCATTTACAGAGAAACCACGCCTCAACGGTCATTATCAGACGGAAACCACGCCCACCTGTCATTCTCATGTAAAAGTTCGTTAACGACCAGTTTTCTGGTCCGTTTTGTTCTGTTAATGAAGGATGGAATTTATTACTGAAAAATAATGAATGTCATATTACCCCTTTTTATCCAATAAGAGAATCTTATTCTGAACCGATATGAAATAAATAAAATTACAATTAAATTTCAAAGTAGACGTAAACCATAACATAAAACTGCTAGGAATCCAAAAAAATAAAGAGGGAGGGCCAATTTGCCGGAGATTTGTTTCATTCGATAAGATAGGTAAATAATGTTTTAAATAGCCCGATAGATGCTAATTATAGTACAAGAAAATACGTCACATTATTTATTTTCATACCTTGAACAGGTATTCCTACAAAAACAAGGCCAAGACTATTGTTTTTTTTTAATATTGATTTTATTTTATTATTAACATCCTTTATGCGAGGTGCCATACCATGTAAATTGTCAAGGAGCCAAATAATATCGAACTAATTCAAATCGTGATTTTCTCATTCTGAATATGTATATCTGTATTTGTCCTGGTCTTTTAAGGTTTTATCGTCTATAAGATAAGACAAGAAAATACATGTACATGTATATAAAATTAAAACCGGAGAACATCTTACATCAGTTGGTCATAGATCACCCTGTGTTACTACTTCATGTTTTATTGCCTTTTCTGTAATTTTAACAAATCGGCCCTTCGTTGTGATACAGATGCAACAGCTTCTTGATGTTTTACCTACAATCGCGATTTGTAGTGTAATTGATTTGTTCTGTTATGTTGTTTTATGTTTCTGATGAGTTAGGTACCCGTGTATAGAAGGTGGTAAAAATTTCAGTACTAGTATCTTTACAGTTTGTGATTTGGCGACAAAATTGTTGTTGACTGCATTTGTTACATATAATACCATGTTCAAAAAAGGTTTCGACGAATTGTTTTTTGTTGTTATGAAACTTGTATACAATGGCCTTATTTTAAGTTATGTGTATATTACACCCGCAACATGTAGGCTTAATTTCTATAGAATTAATTCTCGTGTTATTGGTTATGTACAGGCACCTACATCAATTTGACGGCAGTTGTCCCTTGGATATACGTAATAATGTAAACACATGAATAGAAAGTAATTCAAGAGTATGGACAGTCATAGGATTGCACACAATAAGCGATACATTATTTTTCTTTGATACACGTAAAATTATATACTAGTAAACTAACTGAATAGTCAAAATGAACCAGAATGACTCTATGAGTCAAGCAAACATCCGAAAAAATATGATAGAAACTTTAAAATTTAATATAACAACACAAAAAAATGCAAAAGTTCTGAGCGAGGTTCGAACCCTTTCTTCAAATTCATCATTTATTAGTAGTTCTGTGCTCTAATGGTGGAGCTACGGCGATTCTGATCATTATGACTCTTATTTAGAAGGTATATCGGTACAATTTATCGATGTTACAATTTTTTCTTTAAAAAGTTGTTTTTTATGTAATAAGGACACACTAAACCAATTTCATTTTTGAAGTAAAAAGTAGTATGAATAACAACAGTCATAAAAAGCATAACTTTTTTTTTGGTTTGAAATGTCCTTCTTGGGGGATTCCCTGTTTTTTCCACATAAAAACACCCGAAAATCCGGATATTGGATTTTCATCATTTTTTAGGGTTAAATTAACTATTGATCACACATATCATACTATATGTAAATCGAGATATTGATCAAAAAGCATTTTTATTTTTTTTTTTTATAGTAAATTTTATTCTGTCGGCACTTTTTGAAATTGGCCCTTCTGTGAAAAAAAATCCTCGGCATATTGGCCCTACCTCTTTCTTTCGTTGGAAAATTAAAATTACCAAACTCTGTGCAGTAATTGTGTGCATACTAAAATCATATCTTCCAGATTAAACAATGGTTACCTTTGGTCACCCTTCATATATATTGAAACTGGTTACTTCCTAACGCCATACACGTGACAGATATTGTCTTTCGTTTGCTGTCGGCAGTTTACATAGATATAGATTTTGATTAAAGATTACATCTGGTCGCCATAGAGATTTATTGACTGGTGCCCTCTGGTCACCTTTCACATATATTAACTTTGGTTACCTCTGGTCACCTAACACAGATATTAACTTCGGTTATCTCTGGTCACCCTACTCATATATTGACTTAGGTTGCCTCTGGTCACCCTTCACATAAAATGACTTTATAACCTCTTTTCCTACTAAGTTATTGACCTGAGTTACCCCCGCACAATTATCAAACTTGTTAACTTGTAGGCAGTTCACACATATACAGATTTGGGTTACATTTGTCCCCTACAGATTTATGGACTGGTGCCCTCTGGTCACCCCTTCCCATTTATTGACTTTCTCTACATTTGGTCACCTTACATAGTAATTGACTTTTGTAACCTGTGGTCATCTTACACATATATTGATTTTAGTTAACTTTAGTCAGGTGACAAAGTTATGAACTTTGGCTAGCTCTGCGACATTTAAACAGATATATATTCTTTGATTAAATCTGGTCACCCTACGCATATTGTCTTAGTTAACATTCGCTTACCTTACAAATATATTGACTGGTTACATCTTGTCGCCCTTCACTGATAGTGACTTTGGTTGACCTCTGGTCACCCTACATAGTTTCTGACTTACTCTGCTAACCCTACACATATGTTGATATTAATTACCTCATGTCATTCTGTAACTTGTAAACCTTTATTACCTCTTTGCAATTTAAACGGTTATAGACTTAAATAATATGGCACCTATTGTTTATATAATATTGACTGCGGCTACTTCTGGTCACCCTACCCAAATATTGTGATCTTCTGTGCTAAACAAGATTGCACTTCTGTTTTCGTAGAATTCCAAAATTTAAAAGAAACTTAATTGATGTCATTTGTTTCAGGTATTATTATTTGTATTACTTTGATTGTTAAAAATGATTATTTATTTAAAGCATTTTTTGAAACTATATGGGATTCATGGAAAGGAAATGCTGACGAAAAGTTTGGTACGGTGTATGGGAATGTTCTTTACGTATCGGATTTAATGAGCTTAAAAATTGAGGAGGAGTTGAATGATCAGGTAACAGTACTAATGGTTTAATTTATGTAATAAAGGTTAAACGTTTTCAAAGATCTTGAACTCTCCTCTGAAACTACTGAACCAATTCCAACCAAACGTAAGCTTAATCATCCTTAGGGTATCTAAAATAAAATTAAATCTGACATTGGTGAAAAGGTTCATTAGGTAAAGCATTTTCAGACAAATAAAACTACCCATTGTTTGGTTGATGCCACTAAATTGCTAATTTTTGTGACCCCTTAAAGAGTTACTGGCCTGTAAGTAATTGTGTTTTCTTTTATGCCAAGAAATATAGTCACTATGGCTTAATAGCATATTGGTTTAAAATGCATTGTTTTGCCATTGAAGAAAATATGACAGATACCAAAAAAAATTAAATACCAATTTGACAATGTAAGCACTACTTTATTTCCATTGAAAAGCAGAAATAATCATTGATGAAAGATTTAACAACAAAAAAAATGCAGGTAAGTCATTCAGGTTTTTGGAGGTCTTTTGATTTTATTTAGTTCTATAAAATGTACAAGGATTTTTTTAAATAATCTGTCTTAAACTGATAACATAATCATGGTACTTTATGTTATGTGTTATCTTGATCAAACTTGTATGTCTTCACCTTTGTGATATTTAGTTTTGTTGATGGTTTCCTTTGTATCATACTGATTGAAAAGATCTGACCTTATCATTTTCTTTTTTTTTTCAGATAATTAATCTTTATTGTAGTGTACTGCAAAAACGGACGGATCAGTGTGTACAGGTAAACGAATTAAAAGTATTTATTTAATAACCGTTTTATCATATTTCAGTGCATTTATTTTAGAGTTGACTGATTTTTTCATCGGCTACTTTAAATCATGCTTTTTTTTTGTAACTTCCAGGATCAATTCATTTAATTTAGCTTTTTCTACATGATCCATTCCTCCATTAAGGGTATCTGAATTATCATTCTAAACTTGTTTTATGCATTTTTTATTCATTTCCAATTTCACCAAAGTAAACTGTGTATTGTAAAAGTTACTTTCGCACCCACCACCCTTTTTGCAGAGAATGAAATATTTGTTCCACTAAATCATCTTTTATTTTTTGCCTTTTATATAATTTAAGGTCTTTCTACCTTTCAGTTGAAAGACTTTTAGCTTTACTAAAGGATTATAATTATTATCATTATTTTGATATTATTATTTATATTTTGTTCGCCTTTTTTAAGTTGAGCTATTATTTTTAACAGATGTAGCTTTGACTTTGTTTTATATGATATCGTACAGCTTATGAGCTTTCGCCATTGCCCTAACGAAGACTTTTTACTCTCATTAATAGAGTTACCTCCCCAATCTCGATTTTGCGTGTAGATACATCTACTGCGATATTTTATTAGTTTACTCAATTACTCGTTACACCCTTATGATGTCATATATTATTTAACCGAAGCTATCTGGATATTCCTTATAAGAGTTATATCCCATTTGGAATTGTCGTTAAGGAAATATATGCACAACTCATTAACTATGAGGAAAATGAATTTACTTTTATTCCTCGTATTTTTGATGGGTAATTTCATACTGACTTTGAAGAAGTATTGAACCAGGCAAGAAAAACCTTATATAATTTCACGTTCCGATGTAATAGAAACAGTTAAATAAATCCAATGTTCTTGTCACACAATTTGTTTTATACATATTTCCGTTTTCCAGAAAGTGTCCCGTGCAGATTGTCTGATTCTGACCTCAATTTTTGAAGGGAGGAAAAGCGTAACTTGGTTTAAAAAGGTATAATACTATATAATCATCTGTTATAAACTCTTTTTATATAAGTGCTTTTGATTTACACATAGATTACTCTTTTTACAGCTAAAAGCTGGATATTACCAATTCGCCTTTCACGTTTTAACAAAATAATAAGACATTCTAACATATTGATGATATATGTAAATTATCAAATGATAAATAATAAAACAATATGCTAAATATTGTATTGTGTATGGTATTATATTGCTGTTTATAAAATGTATTTAATGTTTCATCGGTCTTTTTTTTATCAGTTTGCAAGTTAATAATAACATTTTACAATACTTTTTTAGGACGATATACAACAGTATGACACTGTCATTGGGTGCATTAATGACGGGAAGTGTCATTGGGTTGCTGTGGTAGGTTTATTTGCTCAATTAATGTTATTAATTACACTATTCAGGCATTTTTCCATGAGGTTATAAGTTAATAGAAAAATGAGTTGCAAGAACAGCATTTCAGACATTTCGTTGAGTTTTTAGTCATGTTAGTTGTTCTTCTATAACTTAATTCAACTTACTTGACTTAATATATATATTTTCTCATACATTTTTCCAACTGATTTTGCACTCATTTATATGAAAGCATTTATACTGCATGGAAATGATAGTTAGAAAAGAAATATCAGATATAAAATATTGGCTTCTTCGTATAAAATATTATCAAATATTTGCTTCTGAACATTGAGCAACAACCAGTAATTAAGCAAAATATTTATTTTTTTATAAATGTTAATGTAAACAGATTTAAGTATGTGAAATTAAAAAGAGAGAATAATTTTTGTTTCAGGTTATGGATGTCCAACACCATATTGTGACAATTATGGACCCGCTCAAAATATCAAAGAAATTGAGAACATATGAAAAGAATTTCAAGTAAGATTGAAACTGTAGTTACATGACAGTCGTTTATTGCTTTAATGCATGTGATTTGTTTCAAAGTAAATTATTTCTGTGTTTGATATATATACTTAAAAAAAAGTTTATAATTCTGAAATTTTCAGAAGTGAGTCACAAGTTATAAGGACAAATCTAGAGAAATATAATTTGTTAATCTAAAATGAAAATTACTTCTGGTTGATACTGGAATTGAACTATAGTTGTATTATTGATTGCACAGCTTTGTAAATTGAATATAGCAGTAAGAACTGAAGACCAGTTATTTTTTTCCAAACGTTGTTGATATCAACTTTAAAACAGCTGCAATTATTTTTTTTCCTACATTAGAAAGGTTGGTCAAATGAACGGTTTTCTATGGAATGTGCAATATCTCCTTAAGTATCATACATCTAGCTAGACATGTAAGTTCTATGATACAGTCCGGGGTAAGGCAATGGCTGGCATTATGGCTATAGCCAGCTTGACTTTTTAATATATATCAATTTTAAGTAACACATTTTTCTTTTCATATTATATTATGTAGCTACTTCACTAAAAGCAGAGATCTTGGTACATGGACAATCTGTACAGCAGTTGGGTATCCTCTGCAAAATGATTTTAGCTCATGTGGTGTTTATTGTTTGAAGGTACATAAAACATTGGGCTTTGCATGTATGAATTGAGAGTTAATAAATGAAAGTTCAATTGAAGCTTGAATCTTAAATCAATGATATATATATACTAATAAAGATCACAATTTTGCACGCAAAAGACACCCTTGTTGATTTTGAAAAAAAGGCAGAATCGTACAAACAAGATGAACAAAATATTGTTGTAAGTTGTAAACAACTTGTTTCCCAAACCTGTTTATTTAAATATGTGTAAACAATAACTTGGAATATATATCATGTAAACTATTTCAGTAAAATCCGCAAAGCACAAAGGTTGTGTGAAATTTAACCAAATCTATGATTTGCATAAATTACTTTAAATGTAATGGAAAGAAAAACAAATAAATATGTGGTACTTTTAATTTACCTTTTGTAAAAAAAACATTTTTATATCATTATTAGGCCTACATGAATCATTTCAGTAATTTAAACATTCAGTTTTGAACAGGCCATAGAAAATTTACAAAACAATGTGTACATTTAAGAATTATTTTTTTAGTTCCTCGACCGATACCTAAGTAAGACAGATACATCTTTGGAATTAAACGTCCAAGCTGAAAGATTCACAATTGGCAGTGAAATTGTTCAAGCTGTGCGTAAGTAATCAATAGAATAAAAGCATTTACTAATAGTACCGTATGTTATGTAAATACTTAATATCTTCTTGCTAGACAATAAGTGAATCTAATAAAAAGGGAATATGAATTTTAACATGTTCAATAATGTGTTTGAAATCCTTATCTTTGATGTTTATCTCAATTCATTGATGATTTGTTTTTAATTTTATCTATTGTTTCTGACCAAATTTCTTTACGCTATAAATGATGTATTTATGTTTCTTTAATGTATTATTCATTATTGATATGTTATACTTAAAAATGTAGTTTGGAAATAATAGCTTAATAATTCCGGTTGTTTTCTGTAATAATTTTTCTCTTTTTTCTACAGCTCAAACTGTACTTATTTTTATGATATTCCATGTCTTATATATGTATGATAATGTGTTGTTGTCAAATATTACGATCTTATTAATGGAAATATAAACATGGAAAGTAGATGTTTAAAAATCAACTAGTTTTTGTAGGTCTAATTAAGTTAGCCGATATATTTATGCGATTGTCTTCTTCATATAAACTGCCGCTGTCATCAATGAGCATCACCATCATAATTACCATCTACGGGAAGGAACGTAAAAAATAACATCAACCAAGTGTAAACATTTTCAATTTTATGACTTATTATCAGCTGCTGCAATTTGTGATTTGGAGCAGAAGAATGTTGTTCCTAATTCATGTTAACATCTGTTTCTATTTTACTATAGAAACAAAAGGTGCTGTTATGACATGCTTCTTGTGTGCTAAAGAACCAACTAACATGGTAAATATACATTTATAGATCGTTGATGTTCAACTTAACAGGGTGCTTTATTATTTTTATTGCTTATTTAAATACGTTTTATGGTTAAAATTGATAATTTTTTAACAGAACCTTGTGATATTGTAGGTTAGAATATAAATGTTTTTTTTTATATCAATTTGATGAACTTTCACTAATATTAACATTTTTCGCAATAACTACATTAATTCATAGAATTTGAACATGTCTATTAAATATTGCAGAGAGCATGTTCATGCTGTAAAAGGAATTTCCACAAAAAGTGTATGACTCCAGGACTATGCAGTCTGTGCTCAATTTTTCCACCTGGTGAGTGCAATAGAAAATTCTACCATTTCTAATTTTGTTTAAAGTAATACAATGAAATAGAATTTAATTTGCAAGGACAAAATGCGATATAACAAAATTGTAGAATGATCATTGTTCTTCCATTTGTTCAATAATTCTATAAGTTGCGTTTAATTTCATAACAGAAGTCGACTTATTAATTTTTGTAGATATATTCATGTTGATATTTCTTACATTTTTTATAGATTGCACTAAATGAACTTATTCTAAGATATCTTTGAAATCCAAAGATGTGTTGTTCTCACATTCAGACTCACATGGTAAAGGCAGACGTTTAATGTTCCCCCTCATGACTTAGTTGATTAATACAGAATGACGCTGGCATAGGTACCGTTTGCTTAGTGCACACTACTTTTTAAGTCTTCTTTAAATATTGTCTTTTCAAATGATTTTGTTATATAACTTGTCAGTTTCTTGTTTGCATTGTATAAGCTGTTGGATTTTATTTATTTTTTTGTTTCTTATATACAGATGTATGGTAATGTATAAAATACTGTGAACTTTTAGTTTGGTGTGCTTTATCCTAAATCTGTATGCTTCAAATATAATCAATGTGTAGTCAATATGCCACTACTTTTACATATTATAGTTCTCACTTAATGTTCTGCTTGACACAATAATTACAATTTTCCAAGTTCACGTTAAGCTATTAATTTTTTTATGTTTCACCCACACTTATTTAAAAGCACTAAATGGTTCGTGTTGTTCAAGGTAATCTATACTTGACAGAGAGGTTACCCTTTTTTTATATTGCAATTTAATAATTTGAGTATATATTTTTACTCTGAATTGTACTGACTTTAAAAATATTAACCTTTAGTTTCTCTTCATGGATTTTGTTTATTCTTTTTTTTAGAAAAAGTTAGACATTCAAAGAGAGGAAAAAAAGAACAACAACAGGTTTGATATCTATAATTGGTTCATCAAGACTACAGATGATTGTTGCATAACATTTTAAATGTTTTTTCATTGAAAACACTTTACCATCGAATTTTCTTCCTGATCATCTAAAAAAAATGAACGAACTTGCAAAAATTGTCAAGAACATTCACAATTAAAAATCGGGTCAATTTATGCTTGTTCTCACTTGATACTTCTGAATAAATCAATTGATTTCCTTATACAATTATTATATTTTTATCTTCTTTTTTCAGAAGTCCATAGAAATTTTAGATGAGAATGGTATGTATGCATTTAATTTGTTGATTAAATCAATTAATATGATGGATAATACCTTATGCAGATTTCAGATTTTGTTAACTCTGATCAACTAATGCAAATATTGAATTTGGTTACCTCTGGTTATCTTATGCAAAAAAGTATTGTATTACCTCTGGTCAACCTATGCAATTATTGGATTTGATTACCTCTGTTAGTTTATGCAAATAGCGGCTTTTGTTACATCTGGTCAACTTATGCTAAAATAGTATTCGGTTAACTCTGGTTACCTTCTGCAAATATTTGAATTGTTACCACTGGTCACCTTCCGCATATAGGATTTGGTTACATCTGGTCATCTTACGCATATATAGGATTTGGTTACCTCTGTGTACCTTATGCAGATAATTGATTTGGTAACCTCTTGTCACCTAATGAAGATAACGGATTTGGTTACTTCAGGTCAACTTATGTAAATATTGGAATACGTTCATCTAGTCACCTATGCTGATATTGGATTTGGTTACCTCTGGTCACCATATGTATTTATTGGATTTGCTAGCTCTTGTCACATAATGTAAATATTAGGTTTTGTTACCTCTGCTCACCTTACCGCGATATTGCATCTGAATACTTGTGGTCACCTTGAGAGTGGTTTGTATGCATTTAATTTATTGTATTAAACCTTTAATATGATAGATATGTACACAAAGTTCATATAATGCTGCAACTAATATTCTTTTTGAACTTAAAACTTGCAATCGTTTCTGGTAATGGCCACTTAGGCTTAGTTGAACAAATCATTTTTTGTTTCTTGATTACCTTACACAAATATTTAATTTTGATTACATGTGGTCATTTTTACCAGAAATTAGATCTGTTAACCTCTGTTTGCCTTACTACAACGGGGTTACTTCTGGTCACCTTATTCATATATTGGATTTGGTGACCTCTGGTCACCTTATGTTAATAACGGGTTTGGTTACCTCTGGTCACCTTATTCATATATTAGATTTGGTTATCTCTGGTCACCTTATGGAAATACTGGATTTGGTTACCTCTGGTCACCTAATGCAGATTTCGGATTTGGTGACCTCTGGTCACCTTATGTTAATATTGGATTCGGTTACCTCTGGTCACCATATGCATATTTTAGATTTGGTTATCTCTGGTAATTAACATTTACATACAACTAGTTGATGTTTTTCATTTCATTTGTAGAAAGTTTTAGACAATCAAAGAAAGACAAAAAAGAAGAAGAACAGGTTTGATATACATTATGGATTCAACAAGAATATAGAATATTATTACATTAAGTTTAATATATTGATAAAACTTTACACAATGATCATTATCTTTCATGCTCATCTACAAACAAATTTAAGAAAAATCATTGATCTTTAAAACATTGCCAAGAACACTGACAGTTGATAATTAAATAAAATAAAACTGATCCTCATAAGACACTTTTGGATAAATAAAATTGAATTTACTAATACAATTATCATATGTTTATCTTCTTTTTTCAGAAGTCCTCAGAAAATGTAGATCAGAGTGGTATGTATGCATTTAATTTATTGTATCAAACCTTTAATATGATGAAAACATACACTATATTTATATAATGCTGCAACTATTATTCTTTTTGAACTTGAAACTTGCAATCGTTTCTGGTAAAATGGCCACTTAGGCTCGATTGAACTAATCATTTTTTTTTTGTTTCTTGATTACCTTACACAAATATTTAAGTTGATATCATGTGGTCATCTTAGCCAGAAATGGGATTTGTTAACTTCTGTTGGCCTTAATATGCTAGAATGGGGTAACTTCTAGTCACCTTATTCATATATTGGATTTGGTTACCTCTGGTCATCTTATGGAAATATAGGATTTGGTGACCTCTGGTCACCTTATGTTAATATTGGATTTGGTTACCTCTGGTCACCTTATGCAGTTTTCAGATTTGGTTATCTCTGGTAAATAACATTTGCATACAACTAGTTGATGTTTTTCATATCATTTGTAGAAAATTTGAGACAATCAAAGAAAGACAAAAAAGAAGAAGAACAGGTTTGATATACATTATGGATTCAACAAGAATATGTAATATTATTACATTAAGTTTAATGTACCGATAAAACTTTACACAATGATCATTATCTTTCATGATCATCTACAAACAAATTTAAGAAAAATCATTGATCTTTCAAACATTGCCAAGAGCACGGACAGCTGATAGTTCAATAAAATAAAACTGATCCTCATAAGATACTTTTGGATAAATAAAATTGAATTTACTAATACAATTATCATATACTTATCTTCTTTTTTCAGAAGTCCTCAGAAAATGTAGATGAGAGTGGTATGTATGCATTTAATTCATTGTATCAAACTTTTAATATGATGGAAACATACACTATATTTATATAATGCTGCAACTATTATTCTTTTTGAACTTGAAACTTGCAATCGTTTCTGGTAAAATGGCCACTTAGGCTCGATTGAACTAATCATTTTTTTTGTTTCTTGATTACCTTACACAAATATTTAAGTTGATATCATGTGGTCATCTTAGCCAGAAATGGGATTTGTTAACTTCTGTTGGCCTTAATATGCTAGAATGGGGTAACTTCTAGTCACCTTATTCATATATTGGATTTGGTCACCTCTGGTCATCTTATGGAAATATTGGATTTGGTGACCTCTGGTCGCCTTATGTTAATATTGGATTTGGTTACCTCTGGTCACCTTATACAGTTTTCAGATTTGGTTATCTCTGGTAAATAACATTTGCATACAACTAGTTGATGTTTTTCATATCATTTGTAGAAAATTTGAGACAATCAAAGAAAGACAAAAAAGAAGAAGAACAGGTTTGATATACATTATGGATTCAACAAGAATATAGAATATTATTACATTAAGTTTAATGTACCGATAAAACTTTACACAATGATCATTATCTTTCATGATCATCTACAAACAAATTTATGAAAAATCATTGATCTTTCAAACATTGCGAAGAGCACGGACAGTTGATAATTCAATAAAATAAAACTGATCCTCATAAGATACTTTTGGATAAATAAAATTGAATTTACTAATACAATTATCATATACTTATCTTCTTTTTTCAGAAGTCCTCAGAAAATGTAGATGAGAGTGGTATGTATGCATTTAATTCATTGTATCAAACTTTTAATATGATGGAAACATACACTATATTTATATAATGCTGCAACTATTATTCTTTTTGAACTTGAAACTTGCAATCGTTTCTGGTAAAATGGCCACTTAGGCTCGATTGAACTAATCATTTTTTTTGTTTCTTGATTACCTTACACAAATATTTAAGTTGATATCATGTGGTCATCTTAGCCAGAAATGGGATTTGTTAACTTCTGTTGGCCTTAATATGCTAGAATGGGGTAACTTCTAGTCACCTTATTCATATATTGGATTTGGTCACCTCTGGTCATCTTATGGAAATATTGGATTTGGTGACCTCTGGTCGCCTTATGTTAATATTGGATTTGGTTACCTCTGGTCACCTTATACAGTTTTCAGATTTGGTTATCTCTGGTAAATAACATTTGCATACAACTAGTTGATGTTTTTCATATCATTTGTAGAAAATTTGAGACAATCAAAGAAAGACAAAAAAGAAGAAGAACAGGTTTGATATACATTATGGATTCAACAAGAATATAGAATATTATTACATTAAGTTTAATGTACCGATAAAACTTTACACAATGATCATTATCTTTCATGATCATCTACAAACAAATTTAAGAAAAATCATTGATCTTTCAAACATTGCGAAGAGCACGGACAGTTGATAATTAAATAAAATAAAACTGATCCTCATAAGATACTTTTGGATAAATAAAATTGAATTTACTAATACAATTATCATATACTTATCTTCTTTTTTCAGAAGTCCTCAGAAAATGTAGATGAGAGTGGTATGTATGCATTTAATTCATTGTATCAAACTTTTAATATGATGGAAACATACACTATATTTATATAATGCTGCAACTATTATTCTTTTTGAACTTGAAACTTGCAATCGTTTCTGGTAAAATGGCCACTTAGGCTCGATTGAACTAATCATTTGTTTTGTTTCTTGATTACCTTACACAAATATTTAAGTTGATATCATGTGGTCATCTTAGCCAGAAATGGGATTTGTTAACTTCTGTTGGCCTTAATATGCTAGAATGGGGTAACTTCTAGTCACCTTATTCATATATTGGATTTGGTCACCTCTGGTCATCTTATGGAAATATTGGATTTGGTGACCTCTGGTCGCCTTATGTTAATATTGGATTTGGTTACCTCTGGTCACCTTATACAGTTTTCAGATTTGGTTATCTCTGGTAAATAACATTTGCATACAACTAGTTGATGTTTTTCATATCATTTGTAGAAAATTTGAGACAATCAAAGAAAGACAAAAAAGAAGAAGAACAGGTTTGATATACATTATGGATTCAACAAGAATATAGAATATTATTACATTAAGTTTAATGTACCGATAAAACTTTACACAATGATCATTATCTTTCATGATCATCTACAAACAAATTTAAGAAAAATCATTGATCTTTCAAACATTGCGAAGAGCACGGACAGTTGATAATTAAATAAAATAAAACTGATCCTCATAAGATACTTTTGGATAAATAAAATTGAATTTACTAATACAATTATCATATACTTATCTTCTTTTTTCAGAAGTCCTCAGAAAATGTAGATGAGAGTGGTATGTATGCATTTAATTCATTGTATCAAACTTTTAATATGATGGAAACATACACTATATTTATATAATGCTGCAACTATTATTCTTTTTGAACTTGAAACTTGCAATCGTTTCTGGTAAAATGGCCACTTAGGCTCGATTGAACTAATCATTTTTTTTGTTTCTTGATTACCTTACACAAATATTTAAGTTGATATCATGTGGTCATCTTAGCCAGAAATGGGATTTGTTAACTTCTGTTGGCCTTAATATGCTAGAATGGGGTAACTTCTAGTCACCTTATTCATATATTGGATTTGGTTACCTCTGGTCATCTTATGGAAATATAGGATTTGGTGACCTCTGGTCACCTTATGTTAATATTGGATTTGGTTACCTCTGGTCACCTTATGTAGTTTTCAGATTTGGTTATCTCTGGTAAATAACATTTGCATACAACTAGTTGATGTTTTTCATATCATTTGTAGAAAATTTGAGACAATCAAAGAAAGACAAAAAAGAAGAAGAACAGGTTTGATATACATTATGGATTCAACAAGAATATAGAATATTATTACATTAAGTTTAATGTACCGATAAAACTTTACACAATGATCATTATCTTTCATGATCATCTACAAACAAATTTAAGAAAAATCATTGATCTTTCAAACATTGCGAAGAGCACGGACAGTTGATAATTAAATAAAATAAAACTGATCCTCATAAGATACTTTTGGATAAATAAAATTGAATTTATTAATACAATTATCATATACTTATCTTCTTTTTTCAGAAGTCCTCAGAAAATGTAGATGAGAGTGGTATGTATGCATTTAATTCATTGTATCAAACTTTTAATATGATGGAAACATACACTATATTTATATAATGCTGCAACTATTATTCTTTTTGAACTTGAAACTTGCAATCGTTTCTGGTAAAATGGCCACTTAGGCTCGATTGAACTAATCATTTTTTTTGTTTCTTGATTACCTTACACAAATATTTAAGTTGATATCATGTGGTCATCTTTGCCAGAAATGGGATTTGTTAACTTCTGTTGGCCTTAATATGCTAGAATGGGGTAACTTCTAGTCACCTTATTCATATATTGGATTTGGTTACCTCTGGTCATCTTATGGAAATATAGGATTTGGTGACCTCTGGTCACCTTATGTTAATATTGGATTTGGTTACCTCTGGTCACCTTATGTAGTTTTCAGATTTGGTTATCTCTGGTAAATAACATTTGCATACAACTAGTTGATGTTTTTCATATCATTTGTAGAAAATTTGAGACAATCAAAGAAAGACAAAAAAGAAGAAGAACAGGTTTGATATACATTATGGATTCAACAAGAATATAGAATATTATTACATTAAGTTTAATGTACCGATAAAACTTTACACAATGATCATTATCTTTCATGATCATCTACAAACAAATTTAAGAAAAATCATTGATCTTTCAAACATTGCCAAGAGCACGGACAGTTGATAATTAAATAAAATAAAACTGATCCTCATAAGATACTTTTGGATAAATAAAATTGAATTTACTAATACAATTATCATATACTTATCTTCTTTTTTCAGAAGTCCTCAGAAAATGTAGATGAGAGTGGTATGTATGCATTTAATTCATTGTATCAAACTTTTAATATGATGGAAACATACACTATATTTATATAATGCTGCAACTATTATTCTTTTTGAACTTGAAACTTGCAATCGTTTTCTGGTAAAATGGCCACTTAGGCTCGATTGAACTAATCATTTTTTTTGTTTCTTGATTACCTTACACAAATATTTAAGTTGATATCATGTGGTCATCTTAGCCAGAAATGGGATTTGTTAACTTCTGTTGGCCTTAATATGCTAGAATGGGGTAACTTCTAGTCACCTTACTCATATATTGGATTTGGTTACCTCTGGTCATCTTATGGAAATATAGGATTTGGTGACCTCTGGTCACCTTATGTTAATATTGGATTTGGTTACCTCTGGTCACCTTATGTAGTTTTCAGATTTGGTTATCTCTGGTAAATAACATTTGCATACAACTAGTTGATGTTTTTCATATCATTTGTAGAAAATTTGAGACAATCAAAGAAAGACAAAAAAGAAGAAGAACAGGTTTGATATACATTATGGATTCAACAAGAATATAGAATATTATTACATTAAGTTTAATGTACCGATAAAACTTTACACAATGATCATTATCTTTCATGATCATCTACAAACAAATTAAAGAAAAATCATTGATCTTTCAAACATTGCGAAGAGCACGGACAGTTGATAATTAAATAAAATAAAACTGATCCTCATAAGATACTTTTGGATAAATAAAATTGAATTTACTAAAACAATTATCATATAATTATCTTCTTTTTTCAGAAGTCCTCAGAAAATGTAGATGAGAGTGGTATGTATGCATTTAATTCATTGTATCAAACTTTTAATATGATGGAAACATACACTATATTTATATAATGCTGCAACTATTATTCTTTTTGAACTTGAAACTATCAATCGTTTCTGGTAAAATGGCCACTTAGGCTCGATTGAACTAATCATTTTTTTTTTGTTTCTTGATTACCTTACACAAATATTTAAGTTGATATCATGTGGTCATCTTAGCCAGAAATGGGATTTGTTAACTTCTGTTGGCCTTAATATGCTAGAATGGGGTAACTTCTAGTCACCTTATTCATATATTGGATTTGGTTACCTCTGGTCATCTTATGGAAATATAGGATTTGGTGACCTCTGGTCACCTTATGTTAATATTGGATTTGGTTACCTCTGGTCACCTTATGCAGTTTTCAGATTTGGTTATCTCTGGTAAATAACATTTGCATACAACTAGTTGATGTTTTTCATATCATTTGTAGAAAATTTGAGACAATCAAAGAAAGACAAAAAAGAAGAAGAACAGGTTTGATATACATTATGGATTCAACAAGAATATATAATATTATTACATTAAGTTTAATGTACCGATAAAACTTTACACAATGATCATTATCTTTCATGATCATCTACAAACAAATTTAAGAAAAATCATTGATCTTTCAAACATTGCCAAGAGCACGGACAGTTGATAATTCAATAAAATAAAACTGATCCTCATAAGATACTTTTGGATAAATAAAATTGAATTTACTAATACAATTATCATATACTTATCTTCTTTTTTCAGAAGTCCTCAGAAAATGTAGATGAGAGTGGTATGTATGCATTTAATTCATTGTATCAAACTTTTAATATGATGGAAACATACACTATATTTATATAATGCTGCAACTATTATTCTTTTTGAACTTGAAACTTGCAATCGTTTCTGGTAAAATGGCCACTTAGGCTCGATTGAACTAATCATTTTTTTTGTTTCTTGATTACCTTACACAAATATTTAAGTTGATTACATGTGGTCATCTTAACCAGTTCGGATTTGTTAACCTCTGTTTGCCTTAATATGCTAGAATGGAGTAACTTCTAGTCACCTTATTCATATATTGGATTTGGTGACCTCAGTTCATCTTATGTAAATACTGGATTTGGTGACTTCTGGTCACCTAATGTTAATATTAGATTTGGTGACCTCTGGTCACCTTATGTAAATATAGGATTTGGTGACCTCTGGTCACCCTATGTAAATATTGGATTTTGTTACCTTTGGTCATCAAAACATAAGTCATGTTATGTTTTTTATCATTTGTAGGAAACGTAAGACAATCGAAGAGAGGAAAAAAAGAACAAGAAAAGGTTAATATGCATTACTGGTTCAGCAAGGCTATAGAATTGTATTGCATATTACATTTAAAATATTAATAGCACTCAACAGAATGATCATTGTCTATCCTGATCTTTTAAAGAACAAATCTTTGAAAATCATTGACCTTGCAAACATTGCCAAGAGCATTGACAGTTGAAAATTTTGTCAATTTTTACTTATCCTCATAAGATAATTATGGATAAATAAAATTGAATTTACTAATACAAATATCAGATGTTTATCTTCTTTTTTTTAGAAGTCCTCAGAAAATGTAGATGAAAGTGGTATGTATGCATTTAATTTATTGTATCAAACCTTTAATATGATGAAAACATACACTATGTTTATATAATGCTGCAACTATTATTCTTTTTGAACTTAAAACTTGTTATCGATAGCTGTAAAATGGCTTCTTCGGTTTGATTGAAATTAATTATTTTTGGTATATTTAATTGGCTGCATATGGTCAACTTTCCCAGATATGGTATTTGAGTACCCTAAGCAACCTTAAAATGATATAGAATTGTGTTAACACTGATCACCTGAAGCAGATACTGTATTTAGTTATCTTTGGTCACTTTCTGTTGTTATTGGAATTCTCTTGACAGTTGACACCTTTTGCAGATTTCGGATTTTGTTATTCACTGGTCATTAAATTTTACAAAAATTGGTCATATGTAGTCTTAGATGTATGATCGTTTGAATTATTTTACATTTCTTATTTCCGGGCCTTTAATAACTGACTATGCGGTATGGACGTTGCTCATTGTTGAAGGCCGTACAGTGACTTATACTTGTTAATTTCTGTGTCATTTGGTTTGTTGTGAACAGTTGTCTCATTGGCAATAATACCACAATTTCTTTTTTAAATGTTGAGTTTTTTTTATCATTTGTAGAAAATGTGAGAAATTTGAAGAGGGTGAAAAAAGAAGAACAGGTTTGTATATATCATTGGTTCAAAATATAGAATACTATAACATTATATTTACTATCTAAGTAACACTGAACAGAAATAATGTACATTATCTTCCATGATCATTTAGAAATAAATCTTAAAAATAATTGAATTTGCTTGCGTTGTCAAGAGCCGATAATGAAGTCAATTTATACGTATCTTCATTAGATCCTTTGGATAAATCAGTTGATTTCCTATACGATTATTTAATATTTAACTTCTTTTTTCAGAAGTCAACAGAAAATGAAGATGAAAGTGGTTTGTATTTATTTTATCATTTTTTTAGTATGATGGATAGGTTCATTACGTCTATATGATACTGAAACTAAATTTCTATTTAAACTTACAACTTGATATCGATAGCTTTAAAATCGCTACTTAGGTTTGATTGAAAAATTTCTTTTTCTCTTTGGATTAACTTAGAAAAATATTTAATTAGCTATAAGTGATCAATTTTATCATATATGGTATCAGATTATCTCTAGTGATCTTAACATGATATGGAATCGGATTACCATTGGTCATCTAATGCAGATACTAGATTTAGTAACCTCTTGTCACCTTATGCAGATATTGGATTTGGGGACCTCTGGTCACCTTATGCAGATATTGGATTTTAGGACCTCTGGTCACTTTATGCAAATATTGGATTTGGGGACCTCTGGTCACCTTATGAAGATATTGGATTTGGATAAATCTGGTCACCTCATGCAGATATTGGATTTTGGGACCTCTGTTCACCTTATGCAGATATTGGATTAGAGTTCCTGGTCACCTTATGCAGATATTGGATTTGAGGACCTCTGGTCTTCTTATGCAGATTTCCGATTTGGGGACCTCTGGTGACTCTATGAAGAAATTTGATTTGTTATATATCTGTTCACCTTATGCAGATATATGATTTGGGGACCTTTGGTCACCTTATGCAGATATTGGATTTGGGAACCTCTGGTCACCTTATGCAGATATTGGATTTGAGGACCTCTGGTCACCTTATGCAGATTTCAGATTTAATTAACTCTGGTCATCAAAACATAAGTCATGTTATTTTTTGTTATTATTTGTAGGAAATGTAAGACAATCGAAGAGAAGGAAAAAAGAACAAGAACAGGTTTGATATGCATTACTGGTTCAGCAAGACTAGAATTGTATTGCATATTACATTTAAAATATTAATGATCTCAACAGAATGAACATTGTCGATCCTGATCTTTTAAAAAACAAATCTTAGAAAATGCTTGAACTTGCAAACGTTGACAAGAGCATTTAAAGTTGATTATTAAGTCAATGTATACTTACCCTCATTATATTATTTTGGATAAATCAATTGATTTCCTAATGTAATCATTATATATTTTATCTTCTTTTTCAGTCACTAGAAAATGTAGATAAAAGAGGTATGTTTGCATTAAATTTGTTAAATATAATTCTTATTTATGATGGATAAGCGCCTTGTGTCTATATAATACTGCAACTATTATTCTATTGAAACTTTAAACTTGTTACGAATTTTGTGAAATGGCATTTAAGGTTTAATTAAAAAAAACATTTTTCTTTTGGGATAACCTTATAAAAATTTAAATTGGCTACATGTTGTCAACTTTACAAGATATGGTATATGGTAACCTCTGGTCATCTGAACAACATATAGAATTTGGTTACCTCTGGTCACCTTACGACGATATTGAATGTGTTTACTTACCTCTGGTCACCTTACGACGATATTGGATTTGTTTACCTCCGTTCATTTCATGCATATATTGGAAATCTCTGGCCACCCTATGTATTATTCGAATTTGGTTATTTCTTGTCATCAATATTTACCTACAACTGGTCATGTTGTGTTTTTTTTATCATTTTAGAACATGCTAGAAAATCAAAGAGAGGGAAAAAAGAAGAAAAACAGGTTTGATATACATCATGGGTTCAACAAGAATATAGAAAAGTATTATATATTACTTTTAATATTTTATTACAATTAACAGAATGAACTTTGTCTACCATGATCATCTATAAAACAAACGTTAGAGAATGATTTAATTTGCAAACGTTGCCAAGAGCATGTTCAGTTGATAATTGATACTTATCCTCTGTAGATATTTTTGATAAATCAATTGATTTCCTTATACGATTATTGTATTTGTTATCTTTTTTTTCAGAAGTCACTAGAAAATGTAGATGAAAGAGGTATGTACGCATTTAATTTGTGATATATAATCATTATATATGATGCATAAGTACATGAAGTTTTTATAATACTGAAATTATCATTCTATTCTAACACAAAACTGGTTATCATTTTTTGTTAAAACGGCTACTTAGGTTTGATTGAAAAGTAAATTCAATATTCTTTTAGAATTTCCTTACAAAATTCTTAATTTTGGATACATGTGGTCATCTTCCCAAGATATGGTATCTGGTAATTACTGGTCACTTTTAAAAGATATAATAGGGTTTTGTTACTGTTGGTCACCTGATTTAAATATAAGTTTTGGTTACCTAAGTTTATGCAGATATTGTAATTATCTGGTCATCTTCTGCATATTTCGGATTTGGCTTCCTCTGGTCACCTTATGCAGATAATTGATTTGGTTACATCTGGTCATCTTATTCATACATGGGATTTGGTTACCTCTGGTCACCTTCTGTAGATTTCAGATTTTGTCACCTCTGATCACCTTATGTTGATATGAAATATGGTAACCTCTTGACACACTTACGCAAATAAAATTTGTTTTATTTAGTCTTTTATAACAGAAAATGAAACAATTAATGTTAATATAAATTGCAAAAAAATATCAACATTTACATTTGAATGGTTCATGGTTTTATTTCTTTTCATTAGTAGATAATGTTAGACAACCGAAGATCCAGAAAAAAGATGAAGATCAGGTTAGATATACATTCTTGGTTCAGGGAGAATATGTTATATTGTTATATTAATTTCAATATATTAATAACCATTAAAAAATGTACATTGTCTTTCAGAGTCGTCTAAAAAACAAATCTTAGAAAACAATTAAAATTTCTTACTTTGTCAAGAGGATTTTTACAATTGATTATGTAGACAATTTATACTTATCATTATTAGATAATTTTTGATAAATCAATTGATTTCCTAATACAATCATTATAATTTTTATCTTCTATTTTTAGAAGTCAACAGAAAATGTAGATGAGAGTGGTATGTATGCATTTAATCATGATGGATAAGTTCATTAAGTTTTATGATACTGAAACTATCATTCTTTTTGAACTTAAAACTTGTTATTGATATTTGTAAAAATGCTACTTAGGTTTGATTGAAAAGTAATTTCATTTTCCTGTTGAGATTACTTTACAAAAATATTGAATTGGTTACATGTGGTCAACTTAACAAGATATTGCCAATTTCATCAAAATTGAATGGGCAAGATGTGGCGCCATAGTTAAATTTATGAACATTGAAAAAGGTGACAAAAAAGTAGGGAAATTGACCAAAATGAATTATTTTCCTATTTTAGAATGATATATTTTTAAATATGAAGCATATAATAGTTTTTGTTATACTTTATATAAAGAAAACAATTGAAGTTTTTAATATACTTCTTCACAGGGCAGGCTTTGGAGTTGACTGGCTCAACCCCCAACCTAATTTTATTTAGGAGATATTGGGGTAGAAAAATGTCATTTTGTTTCTAAAAATGGTATCATAATGATCAAGACATTGATATTATGTAGTTATTTTGTACACAAAATCAATGCAACCACCAGGAATTAATTACCGAAGATAACTAGGATTACATTTTATGATTAAAGTAATTGTGTTTTGATTGGTTTCTTATCAATTATCCTGAATAATACTCTTATCTCAACAGGTACAAGTGAGACGACGGATTGGAATGAGATTACTTCTTTTGAGGAGTTTAGGATTGCAAGTATGTACATTATATTTTTTTGATCATTTGCATACCATGATCACCAACAATCTATATTTCACCTCAACAATCATTATATTTAGCACTTCATGGATTTGGATATGAATCATTACTTGTTTTATTATTGTCTTTCCAATTACTTTTTATGAATAACAAAGCTAAATGTCCTGTGTGATGACTGTACCTTCACATTTTCAGGAATGGCTTTTATCTGTTTAGTAACAACCTATACATATACTAGTTTGATATTTACTTGGTAATTTTATACATTTAGAAGCTCCCTGTATCATTTATTTTTACATTGTGCCTTAAATAATTCAAGTCATTGATTTCTTTTAATAGGCTAACAAAAACACAATTTTAAGTTTCTCATTAATCTTATCATAAGGGTTCATGATTATTTTCCAATTTATTTTAAAAAGACATTAGACCTGTGAGAAGTAGACTACAGTCAATGAAAACAAACAAAACGGAGAAAAGAATGATTTATATGGTGAAGGGAGATGAAATCACGGCCAGAGTCCAGGGACCAGACAGAATGTCAGTTCACCAGATAGGTGATTACTTGACAATAGGGAAATCAAATACTACTCAACAAAATCGAAAGGAACTTTCAAGACTAGTCAATTTGATTCCAAAACCAACAAACATAGTGCCACCGATCACATCAGCCTGGTCCATGTTAACAAACGGTAAGACTTTAGTGAATACACTTGATTCTCAAAGAAAACAGTTTATGCTGGTTAAAACACATAAATTGATGATCTCGTGTTTTTTTAAGCATTGATTGATTAGAAGGTAAGGAATGGTGAATGGGTCGAAAGGAACAATCAAACTGAAATTTGGAGAACAAACTGACAAAGCTGAGCAAAAAAATTTAAAAAAATGATGGAAAGTCAAAAATGCAATCATTATAATTCAATATAGAAAAAATAAAACTGAGCAACATAAACCCCATAAAAAACTAGGGTGGTCTCAGGTTATCTATATTGGTTAGCAGATCCAGCTTATTATGTGGTGCCCATAATATTGTTCATGCTTGAGTTTATGATCCCTTGGTATATAACTGTATCTTTTGAAATCATATGTCTACTGTGAATCATATACATGTCGCTTTGCCAATCTGTAAGACATTTTTTTAAGTTGTAAGAACTTTCATAACGGTGCTTAATATGTCTTATTACATATATTTATCAGCTTAACTGCAAGAAAAGATCACAACTGTATTTCACTTCATTTTCAGGTGATGTTGACTATCAAGTTCAATCTTTAAACACTTTGACCGAGGCTCTTGTTGACAAAGAAGCAACCAAAAAGGCTGTATGCAAAAAAATGAAAGGGACATCTGCCCAAAAAAAGGGTGACATTGAAAAAACTAATTAAGTGTTTGAGGAGAATTCAATTGTTCAGATTTTATGAACATTGGATTTATAATGGCTACAAAGGCAATCGTCTTCTTGACATCTTTATTACATACTAAGAGTATGGAATAAAATACACAATAGAAAATGCAAACATCTAGATAAACATGAAATATATAAAACATACATTTTCCAAATACCATGATCATTATGTATTTATCTTCTCAACAATCAATTATAAACTGAGTTCTCATCTATTCAATTGATTGCTTATCTGTTTCAATAATTATTCTAGACTAAATTTGTGACAAAATTCAGATCATAAATTCATAATCAAGTCTATAATGCAATCTATCTTTTTACACTCGAGGTCTATATATAGAAAATGAACAATTGTGTTAAAAGCGAATGGAAATGTGTAGTTATCATTTTAATATACAGTCAAACACAAACATACTACCAGCTGTTTAAAAACAGATTTCGTTTTAATATAACTTTATGGACACAGGGATTATGTCAAAGAAACAACAACCCGACCAAAACGTAAAAAACAACTCAAGGTTTCACATTTCTCTGTGTACTAAATAATAAACTTTTCAAAGCAAAATGACATGGAATCAATCATTTTAAAATTAATAGCATCGTTAGAATACTAACTATAAAATCATATACAATCTACTTCTTACTGGTCATAAACTTGAAACAATCCACACTACATGTTTATCAGAAAGCTAGGTAGAACAATTGACTTATAATTATTGATGTACAAATTACTATTTAATTTGGCCTTACAATTCGACTTGGTCCTTTGTTTTATTATTGATATGTATAACATTGCTATTCTCATTTATTTTCCAACGGTTTAACATGCTCTATTTTGTTGTAGCTAGGAAACATTTGAAATTATTGAATACAATTTTTGTTAGTAATGACATAAATTAAGCATTATAGTATTAACATATTAAAACATTTAAAAAAAAATATTTAAGTCAATAAAATAAAATGCATTCTTGTAAATTAAGTCTTTTATTTGCTTAGATTAAGTGATTCTTATTAAAACTAGAATAATTAAGATGGTGTCATTATATAAAATTGTGTAGGTAAAGAAATGTCCTATAATAGTAAAATTGCTGTCTTAACTTATATTTGCAGAGAAATTGTTGGCCATGTTATAGCCGAACTAAATAAAACTAATGTAAACAAGGCAATGCATGGGAAAGTTTTTGAGGCCTTTTGGAAGACAATACAGACAATGCTGCCAGGTAATGATTTATTAGACACATGACACGTATTATCTTAACTTAAAACATATTTGATCATTTGCTTAAAAAATATAACCTACTTGAGACAACAAACAGACCTAGTCCAATGTAATAATTAGCCAATTTATCTGCTTGACAAAATCATCATTAGGAATAGGTATTTGTTATATTAAATTATATCCATTTGTTCACATCAGTATCTTTGCAAAACATTTCAAGAGCAAACTGTATATGTCCTACTTTTAAAGCATTTAAGCACCTATGTAACATATACAATTTTTGAACGAATATCTAGAAAAGGCAGTTTTTCAAAATCAGTATAATATTTCATTATTTTTTTCATTGAAATGGTTTACGAATGGATCCTTTCTTTCTGTGCGTAGATTTGAAACTGCCATCATCATTAACTTTACGCCCCCGTTTTTTCAGAACACACTTTCGGCTTACTGAATAGTCATGATCAGTTTTTGGACTTTTGGATTTTCTGCTTGGAAACAGCGGTTGCTGCTTTCGCTTTCTTGTTGTTTTGGAAAAGTTGGTTGTCTTACAAATATGTAATGCCGTTGTGAGTGCTTGACAAATAGCTTTCTTTTTTTTTCACGTCAATTGTCTGGAAATTTTTATTGTTTACATATAAATTGATTTCCTCAATTTTTCTTTTAATAGCCTGGTCGGTTGTTTCTTTGTCTTCAATTAATTGTTGTTTTGTTTCATCAATTGAGGTAGACTCTATGTCAGGTGATGGAACTACCAGTTTTGCTACCATCACACAAACACAATGTTTACCATGGCTATTGGCAAAACATGTACATTTGAAAGAGGTCAAATTAACAACTGATACATTTCCCAATCTTGACAAAACCTCTACCTGGTTGTTATCTCTGTCATAAAAATATTGTTCTGCATTAAATACATCCATTGCTTCTGATCTGCGCTCTACAGTAAGGTCGATGTTCCTTTTAGAAGCAATCAATTCAGCTAAATGAACATGCTTACACATTCCTGAAAAATAGTAGAGAATGGAACATAAATAACTTGTACCTTTATGGTTCACTTTCAATTGTACAAACTTTAAACAAAACCACTAATGAACGTTGAGTAAAGATTTACTTAAATTGGATCGCATTGTTTTAGAAAATTTGATGAGGAAAATGATTATTTGCACTTGTATAACCTGATGACGGTTGATAATGCCTTGTTGGAAGACAAAAACAATCAAAACCGAGGAGACTCATAAAACCATAAGACATTTACAACAACAGTAAAAAACAATAATAAACAACACGAATTCCATTGAATACCTGAAGTGAAATTAGGTGCTTTAGAAGGATAAGCATTTCCGGGAACCATATACGGTACCCGAAATTAATAATCTTGATTTCAACAATTCATACTTGATGGTGTACTTTTAAACATTGTTGGACTGACTTAAGATGCTAAAAAAATACCTCTTGTTGTTGCTGCTGGACAATTGCACACTTCATTGACAATGTCCACATTATAAATCGTCCCAAATGCTGTCTGTGATGGAACAGTGCATTCTGTGGATGAAGTCCATTGCACAGTTTGGTCGAGTCCTGCCTTGAGCATATTCTCTGCTGTCAATTTACTTTTGTCTCCCCTTTGTCCTCCCATATTTTTCAGGCGACCAATCTTTGCGAGTTCATCCAGATAGCTAAAATTACGATGTTTTTTTTAATTTATTTTTGGTTATGAAAACATAATTCAAAGATCTAATAATAAATTATTTCTTAAAAAATTGAATTCACAGTATTTAATATTCAATGTATTTGCATCTTAAATTAAAATGATCTTTCTAATTTCAGACGATTCAAGTGAACGATAAGAAGAACAGGATTGTGACAAATTTAAACTTACTTACTCATAAAACATAGTTACATTTCCATGGAGAAGGAGTAGTAAGTCCTCTACTCTGCTATTGGCATACCCACCAAGGAAATGGTATTTCATGCCCAGGAAAAACCTGAAAATGACAAAATGTTAAGGACTTTGAATTTATGATTTATATTTGAATGTACAAATAGAAAGTACATAAAATATTAATGTGTTAACATTTGAATGTTATAAGTAGCATTATATTTTTTTGTTTTAATATCCTCATACACATCAGGTTTTGCTAGACTACATTTTTTCATTTTGTCTGCTTTTATGTAATTATCGACTTGCATTGACAATTATGATATTTGTATTAAATTTGCATAACCCTATCATGAAAGAACGGCAAAAATCCTCTCCATATAGTTAAAAATTGTAAAGTTTATATCATGCTATGTCTTTGGTTACCCATGAAGAAGTAGGATTTAGACAAAGTGTAATACTTTTTATAAATCAGGTCATAAAAACAGAGACAGTTCAGAAAATTTATCCCCAAAATAAAATATACTTAGTTACTATTATCAAACAGATGATAATTAGATGATGCTTAAAATTTCGATCTTGTAAAATATAAGGTGTATAGTAATAAAATGTATTAATAACCTTTCAACTAAGTTATTTGTATCTTGATCTTCATGAAAAAAATGTCTTCCATAGTTGGCCCATCGACATCCCCACTTGTCAGTACACCAGTTGTCTAACAAGTAGTCTGCTATTTGTTTGGAAGGCATCTTCTCTTGCAACATTTTAACTTTTTGAGAAAAGTCTTCTTTCTAATGAAAAATTATATTGACACATTTCTTTTGAGTATAAAATCAGATTTTATAGATTAAACACGCATGTACTCATAAGCATTGTATATTTATAGGTAAGATCTTTAAATCGCATTAAGCAACTATTTGTACTTTCTAAATTATTTTACTGCTTTAATTCAATAGAGATTCATTTCTATATGTTTCAGTGGTTTTTTTTTCATCTTTTATCAACCAAAATTCATTGATTGTATTTTTTATTATTATTATTATTGCGTTTTAATTGACTCTATTTGAAAAATCTTGTTGATATGATTTTGATATTAAAACAATTACAATGTTGGAAAAGGAGAAAAAGATCCCACTGAAGTTTCATTTCTACAGGGATTTTTCTTATAATATAAACATATCAATAACCAATCGTGTTTCATTGTGAGGCAACACACTCGTGATTAATTTTTTAACAATGTTTCACATCCTCTGCATATAAAACTGTTATTATCAGAAGCAGGTCAAGTTATACTATGTAAATTAACATTCACCTAGTACATATTAAATATTCGAATACATTATTTGAATTTGTCAGGACCAACTCAAAATTATTGACCAATTTAAAAATTATTATATTTCACTGTGGTATCATAGGTTCATTATATTTTATTTGTCTTAACTATCACGTTTGATTACCTTGGTACATATTTTCATAGTTCTAATATAGTCAATAACTTTTTTTCTGGTATGTGCGTGCATGGGTCCTGATACACCAGATTCTTTTTTATTCAAAAATCTGTACACAGCCTGTAAATCAAATCATTTATATTTAGTTCATGTCTTAAAGATTCTTGATAATAATAATTAAACATTGTCTTGAATATATCATGACTAATTATTTTTCAACAAGATAATATTTGATCTATGAAAGTATTAATGCGAAAGAGTCTATTTATTAATTTCAAAACTAACCTCAAGCTTATAAACACAAAAAAAAGATATAAAATGTTAAATCCAATGCAATTAATACTTATTGATCCAAAAGAGTGAAACTTCACAGAATAACTCTCATTTAATAACTGATTTTTTTCCCATAAAGAATAAGGTAAAATGTATGATACATATATTGAATAATATAATACCTGTAAAACATGAAACCAGCAAAGTAAAACAGAGCTGTTTGGGAATACTTCATTAATTGCGCTGATTTCTTTGGTATCTCTGTCTACCATAAAAGATCTAGTAAACAAAATGTAACACTGCAGTATCAACAATCTATATCTTTATCTCATATTGGTTTTATTCTATAATACTATTTGTTAATTTGTAAATAATTATGTAAATTCTTTTTTTTTTTATATCAATTAGATTTTTAATTTGTGATTAAAAAGTTTGGAAACAAGCCTAAAAAAGCTTTAATTATTATGTTATGTATAAACCTGACTATGCTTTAATCTTAAATGCTTTGGTTTTAAAGCCTTGCTATAGATCACACTCAAAAGATTTTAAGGAAATTGATGTTTTTGTAAGTTTCATTAGTCCATTAGAAAAATATTATTATGCAAAAATTATTTATCTAATATTCTTTGCCAAAATTCAACTGAAATTATTGTGGACCTTAATTGTATTAATTTTGATATGCATGAAAAAATGTTTCTTTAGATGAATCTTTCATAGCATTGTCTATTTGTCATTTCAAATAACTATCACTGCACGAATATTTGAATAATGTCATAGTTTAACCTGTAATTTTTACAGCCAAATTAATTAAAACATATAATTGAATGGTATTTATTTATCTTTTATATCCATATCAGATTTGATGTTGACTCCGAATAATGTTACTAATTGTAAACAAATAATAAGACGAAAATGAAAAGTGTTAATAAGCAATGATATTGAATTCGAAATATTGTCAACTTTGATACCCACAAACCTTGGACGGAAATCAAATCCATGATTTTCAGCCGTAGTCTTCAGAGATCTCAGAAATATTTTGACAACTTCACCAGTATCATCTGACGAGATACAGTACGAAAGAGGAGTGCCTCGGCCTTGCTGTTCATCTCTTGCAACAAGAGCATAGAATGAATAACCATAGGCAGTTAATCCTTAAAACAAACAAAAAACATGTTGTAAGTTTATTGTCACACAGTTCAATTCTTTTAAACGTATCAATATTTTAAATTGAAATTTCCATGATTATATACAAGTATATACCTTTATATGTAGCATCTAAAAACACCACATTTTCTGCTAGTTTCACCATTCTTTTTCTTTGTGCTTCATTCTGGTAAATAATTACTAATGGCTGTACTCCCCTACAATGTAAATGTTACATATTTAATGACCAAAAGTATGAGTATGAATTATATATTTTATGTTGAAATCATGTCCATTTAATGGAAAAGAAGACGACAAACTAGCTACATTGTACTCATATTAAATAACCTCTATTAAAACTGAAAAAGACAAAAATGTAAAATATATTGACAAAATATATGACTTGTGAACAAGTGTAGCACTAAAAACACTCAAAAGGATAAAAACCAAAAATACAAATCATCTATTATGAGAAGTCAGATATACGTTCAGTCTACAGAAAACTCATCTGTACAGCTCTCATTGAAACATTTTACAGACAAAATCATATACGAAATTGGACAGACGAGTACTATAAAAACTATTTGAACATAAGGCAATCCAGTCATGTCTGAAGAACAAAACAGGGTATCAATCAGTAATTTCAGAATTACTCTTTATCAGCATTATGCTTATATCAGTTATTAAAATTTACAAAAGTACATTATTATATAAGAATAATTACTCTTTCAATTCTTGGTAGAAAATTATCTCTTCCTTCAGTATTTGTGTGCATAGCTCGTGTACAGCTACAGCATCATTCTGGTGAATTATAAAACAAATGAGGAAATATCATAGATCAATACCAGTACTGACATATACAAAATCAATGTCAACAGTACATCTGTATAATTTGACCAGAAAACACCAAAGTTAATTTACTGTGTAAAGTGCATGTTTACAATCAGAATGGTAAAAAGATTAAAATGGTGAATAAAGTAATGATTTTAACAGACGAACCATTGGGTTTGCAAACAGTGCATCAGTTTAAAGAACCACAAACCAAAGGCTGTATCTATAAATGTGATGGAGGTAACCAACGTCATTTCCAGTGTAAGGTACTAAATACAAAATGCTCTTTAAATTTCACTTTACTAAAGTATGTAGATGTAACAAGACGGAACCAAGGATATACTTTGTGTAAAGCTATCATTTTTTTTTAAATTGTCCAGATGTGACCAAAGTTGCGGTGAACAGTGGTAACCAAAGTCAATATATGTGTACGGTTTCAAAAGGGATATAGATTATATACATATCTAAAATAGACATAGGAAACACAAGTATGATTAAGGTAGCCCTAGTCAATACCTGTGTATCATTATATATATGTTTCAGGTGACCAAAGTTAACAAAATGGTGAAAAGTTATTATCAAATTCTACAAACATTTAAGGGTACAAGTGGCGACCCAGGTCCATATATGTGTTCATTAACCAGAGGTTACCAAAGTCTGTATATGTTAAGTGTTATCAGAGGTAGCAAAGTCTTTGTCAATATTAAGATTTGGTTCAAGTTATCAGAGGTAACTGAAGTCCGGATAATGTGTTATTTTTCGATGACTGGATACGTAGAGACAAATATAAAAAAGAAGATGTGGTTCGATGACTGGATACGTAGAGACAAATATAAAAAAGAAGATATGGTATGATTACCAATGAGACAACTATCCACAAAAGACCAAAAATGACACAAACATTAACAACTATAGGTCACCATACGGCCTTCATCAATGAGCCTGTTTCTTTGGATTTTTTAGAAGAACAAAGTAGTAAGTACATATTTTAAGTAAATCTTTTGATTATGTTTTGATACCTTTTATCCATTTTGTAACGTTGACATATATTCTTAATGTCAACTGGTGTCAGATAGTATCTTCTATCGTGCACATCAAAATGCCCTTGATCTCTAGCCCATTTCCATGCTTTGCACAATATTTCCATGGGTTTTTTCCCCTATTGATAATGAAATAAAATTAAATTCGTGTCAATTACAATTAATTTCAAATTTAGTTAAAATCTTTTTGAGCTTAAGGATTTTTTCAAATCAACACAAAATATGTCGTTGTATCAATATATGTCATTGTAAAAATATATGTCTTCTAGAATATTTTATCATCAATGCTATTCAGCTTTAAACTGGTTTTTTCATTAAAATATTTCATACAAGCGTCCGATATTTATGTAAATGCATTAAATGACTCTCTGGCAAGCCAATTTTATCCTAATCATTTTATTTTTGATTTATTTCAACCTATTCATTCATTATAATCTTTGCAAATTATGAAAAAATGCGCCGGAAGACAAACACAGACATCGAAAAGAACAGAATGGTTGAGAAAATATTAAACTCCAATAATGTCAGCATACACAATTTTTATTATCATTGTGTTTATAAGAGTGCCAGCAACTTATAATTGAAAAATAAGTCAATTCGTTATGAGCAATAAATTATATATAATACCGACGACATGAATACCTGATCAAGTAAAGCATCTATATAAAGCAGTAAGCTGTGATCTGGGCGTGATTGGTGTTTTTCCTCTTTTATCTGTAAACTGTGTCCATTGTGTTTTAGTTGTTGCCGAATTATTACTGCTTTTTTACTCAAATGGGTCAAAAATCTGTGTAAGAAGATATTAACATGCCCTTTAATGATTTTTTTTTACATGTACAACGTCACTGGTTAGTACTGTTTTGCCAAACGTATCATTATTATATTTATTACAACAGCTTGTAAGCAATATTTAAGATCTATCGGACTTGAAGAAAAGGATTATTTTTTCTAAAAATATGTGTAAGGCTACTTCGAATAACTGCTATGGTTGTTGTGTTCTCCTTGTAAATTGATAACTTATCATCAAAATGATATATACCAAATTCTATATAATTTGATACAGGGATTCTTTATATAATAATTTCAACCATGACAGGGTGTATTGACCCGCTCATCACATGAAATGTCAGGTAAACTAGCCAGAAACTCATGAATGGTGTATGCCCGGTGAATACCTGTTTAAATGTGTTTGGTTTAGTAATATGATAAATGCATTTAATTCCCACTCTCAAGACACGGACAAAAGGTTGCTTAACTACAACAAGGATGTTAGGATCAATAAATAATGATGTTCAAACGCTTAAAAGTTATAAATTAATTTATAGTTTTGCATCATAAAAGAAAAGTAAAAGAGATAAATGAATATTACATTAACATAACATACTGGAATGACACATATGCCTGACAATTATTTGCCCTGGTATTCAAAGGACCTGTTTTTTTTCCTCTTGGTTTATTACATCTAAAATAAACATGATAAAATTTAAACAAATATGCATCTTAACTTTATAGATAACCAAAGAGAAAAATGTTGTGCAATATTTCAGAAAATTCATAGTTCAATACGTTTAAAAGCTTTCGGAACTATCTGTTATTAAAGGCCATACTATAATTACTGTATAAACTATAACACAAAACGTATATTATTGAAAAAAAGCAAGAGAATAACATACAACCAGAAGTCAAGATTATACAACTCATCTCTTTCAAAACTATACCAATATTATTTTCTGTCACAAATGTATCTTTTAACTCAGCATTGTCTTGCAAAGTTGATATGCAAGATATGTAAATAGATTCTTTAAGAATGTTTACGATTGTTACTTAAGTTGTTCTCTTTTTCTATTTATTGTTTATTTGGAGAAAAACAAGAGTGAATTTATTTCAAGATAAAATTCCTTTATAGATTATCGACTTAGATGATTAAAGTTACCTTTCACACCTGTATTGCAATGTGGTTTTATTTGCTTTCCTGTGAATAAAATTCCCTGTGATTGTTATATCCATTAAATGCTTGGTTATGACGTCTTCGTTGTCCACTTCATTTCTGTTGAATGATAAGCAAAAACTGAAGCCAAAGTCACAAATGCTAGCTGATAAAACACAACAATATGTTTCAGTGTAATAGTGTGACCAAAAATTCATCCATATATTCAGAAACATTGGAAAGAGTTACACCATAGTATAATAGACTTAAATTGTCCCCCAAAAAATAGAGTTCTTAAAAATGATCCCTTTGTTAATACAGTGATTTTTATATTTTGTAAGACTATTTGAAGTTCAGTAAAATTATTCTGAATAACAAACAGAGTTATTTTTCAATAATCTGAAGGTATATGTTTTGCTGTGATAGATATTTATTTTCTTTTAATTCTATTGAAACCATTAGGTCATAGGAAGAAGGTAGCATATAGAAATTAGTTGATTTCAAAACTATATATTTTCGATTAAAATAAAATTTCCCATACCTTAAACGTCTAACAATGCAATCAGTACCATTTTTCCGTTTTTTGATGAAGGTGGATCTCACAAACTCTACGAATGGCATATCTAGGGTAAGAAAAGCATATGTATTGCTATGTAGTAACACTAGTTTACTTGTTATAAATTTAAAAACAAATGATGACATCGATGAAAAATACCAACAAACGACCTCTGCACAATAAAATTAACGGTACCAATTTTCTTGCACCAGATGCGCATTTCGACAATACATGTCTCTTCAGTGATGCTCGTTGCCAAATTATTTGAAATCCAAAGCTTATATAAAAGATGAAGAGCTATAATCCAAAAGGTCCAAAAAGTATAGCCAAATCCGTGAAAGAAATCAGAGCTTTGCATGAGGGAGATACATTCCTTAATTTATAATAATTTCTAATATTTTGTAACAGCAAATTTTAATAACACAAAAAAATAGTTGCATATAATATATTTGAACGTTTCAACAGGCGCAAACCTGCACATTACACGTAAAACAGCAGTAAAACATTAAAAGAAAAGACGCACTATAAAAGCAAATAATGGAAAATGGCTTAACTCTGACAAAACAATTAACGAGTTACAAAAAATACAATTATAAACACAGTATTAATACAATAATAAAACGCATTTGCAGTATAACATAGACGTTACAGTTAATAATAAAAAAGGAGGACACATGATACAACTATTGCGACAAAATGACGTTAGATAAACCACTTTAAATTTCGCATGTAAAGTCAAATTTAAGTATAATAATTTTGTCGTTGGAAGTACGGAGAAATGGAAATAAAATGTGTTTTAAATGCATTGTTGACTTTCGAAAAGCCTTCGATAAAGTCATGCTCATTGGTAGTATCTATAAACTGCAACTTTATAATACAACTAATTATTTTTTATAGAATATTGACGTCTATGTATACTAATGGTAGGTTATGTATAAAAGTGGATGATAAAATGACTTTTACTTTTTATAATAAAATTGAGAATAAAAATGGGGAATGTGTCAAAGAGACAACAACCCGACCGTAGAAAAATACAACAGCAGAAGTTCACCAACAGGTCTTCAATGTAGCGAGAAATTCCTGCTAATTATAAGTTATTCAAATCATTTTAAAATCACTGATGATAAGTATGGCTAGTGAACATTTCCGAAGGAACAATATTGTACCTTCAACATCATGTGTCATGTTATAGTTGCTGAGTTCTTCGTTGCACACATCAACAGGAATAAAAAGGTTATCATCATTTGTTGCATGCTTATCATTCGTGTGGTGATCAAGTTTGCCACTGTCACCTAAAATTTGTTGTATAAACGTTACAATTAACAAAAAAACGTAATAATTTATAATTAATACTAGTTTATCTGTTAAAATAAAGCTTTTTTGCATCTGAATGTATTTGCCAATTAGAAAAACTTTGCCTCTAATGCTGATTGATATCAATGCAGTAATTATGCAATCAAATTATGTAAAGTAAACTTATATAAATATCACATTTACAATACTTCCTTTAATATTTTTCTTTTTCAAAAACAGTCTACAGTGAAAAAACGTAAAACGATTTAAGGTAGATCATTACTGAATTTTTTTCTCAGACATAATTTTCTTATACATAGCCACAATTTAGTAGAAAATCAAAAGAAAAAGGGTGAAAATAAATCTCGTTTTCTTGCGAAAAATGGAAATTTCATTATCATTCCTTTAAAGAAAATTCACCAAATAAGTTATCTTCCGTTAATTAGCTCAGTTGACAAATTGAATCAAACAAAGACTGATAGCCGGTTTTTACAATAACACTTATTTTTTCAATGATATAATGCACTTATTTACATTTATCAAACAAGAGTTTTAAAAATGAATAGCATTTATGTCTCAAAATTTGCAGTTTTAAATAAAGAACTTTGTCGCTTGTGTGCTGCTATTTTACAATTCAAGATGGCGATATACAGATATATAGTGATGATCTACCTAATTCAAAGATATAAGGCTTAAAAATGTGTTCCGTCTACGTAAGACTCATTAGGGTCGCTCCTATCGAAAATGTGAAAATGCCTAATGAAGAACAAAGTTAAAGTAAACTTATTTCATTTCGTTTTGCCAAAAACAATTTGATAAAATATCAAATATATAAATATGGACATTTTACTGATTCTATGGTATTTATCCCTTTCTGAGCACAATATTGATCAACATTTTACCAAACGTGGGTCATTTGATCGAAGTCCTTCCTTAGTCGAAATATAATAATGACGACAAATATTTTGCTTTCCTCTGAATTTTATATAATGACGTCATTGGAATAGGTGATCATGCCCGATGAAGTCAGACAAGAAGAGCATGACTTTTTGTAAATAATCTAAACAAATTATCAAATTTTATTGGAATCATTAGATTAACAGATTCCACAACTATATCTCGTGTTATAAGATATTTCCCAACTATCAACCGTAGACATTATTTTTTTAACATAGATTTACATATGCGTTACTTTAAACTATAACTGTAAAGGTATCTCTTTATGAGAGATAATCATAAATTATATAATTTCTATTATCAGTTACCTTTTGGCTGGAGTGACTGGTAGTGGTTTTCGAAAATGTGCCCAAGAAGAATAGGATTACCGGAAAAACCATCACAACCAGTTACCCAAAGGACACTATCCTCATTATTGGTACTGGGAGCACTGGTGACAATAATTATGTCTCTCTGTAGCATTCTGGACATTCCAATGACCACAACATGGTCTGCGTACTCTCCATTCTGTAACATCCTGTCACAGTAGTCCGGAAAATTGTCTTCAACGAAGTTTTCTAATAACACAATGCCTTGACTGCCCTATTGATTGAAAGAAAGCTACTTACATAAGTCTTTATTAACTACTGTACATTGAAATTGATTAATACAAAACAAATACTTTTATAACTACATTTTATCAAAAATCATCATGATCATAACATACATTTTTTATTTATTTTATTGTTTTTTGTCAATACCTATTATTTAGCATTGTACTATATTAACTGTAAATGATTTATTTAAACATCTGCAGAAAAAAGCATTCTGGTTGATATGAAAGTCTTAACTGATGCTTATTCTTTTATCAGTTTGTAAATCTTTAAATATTAAATTGCATTAATCACAGGTATTACGGGCAGTTACGTCAATTCCAAATTAATATTCTGTCGGAAGTAGTTTTGATGGTATTTGTGTGTTAATAGCTTCTTAACTGATTTAAATCATATATTTAAGTTGTGCTGATGCGCCACTAACGTTGCCAACGGTTCTGATTTGTCCCCTGAAAACATGTCCAACTAATTCTTTATGTTTCTGTCCATGGAGGAGTTTGATAATTAGTGAATGTATTTAACAAGTTAATTAGTTTACCTCAAAACTAGGATGTGTTGATATGTAGTTTACAACATTTGTTCTTAATTGTTCGGGAGCAATAACGTCTGCGCCAATTCTATCTAGCTGGCATGTGATTGCTTCAAAAAAACAATTCCCATTCCCTGGTGTTTGACCTCTGTATTCTAAGCCATGGGATGAACAGTTCCTCTTAAGTCTCTCAACTATTAATGTTTGTTCCTCGTTTGAAGCTATGGATTGCTTTATAGCAATTTGTAGTTCATCAGGTGTTTGGAATGATTTCCCTTAATATTAGAATATAAGGTTAAAATTTCTTCACTTCAAATTTACAGCTAAATGACATTGTTTATACATACTTATGTGTATTCAATTGTAATAAAACGTATCATTGAAAATATTACTTGTTTATTCAGGGATCATTTGACAGATTTGTTAAGAGTGATATGATTCTGGGTAAACTCTGAATTTTACAATAAAATTTGAATTATGATTCTTTCATTTCTTTGTGAGGTTGTTGACATTCACCTCTTTAGAATTATAAATTAACTTTTTCAGACCTTCTGCTCTGAAATATTTGTATCACAGAAGTCTGACATTTTTGGCTATTCATAAATTTATTCAAAAACAATATTTGACTTTGTTATTCATGATTATTGAAAGCTATGATAATATGCTGGTGGTTGACTGGTTTTGTGTAAATTATTTTGTTTTGAATTAAACAAATAAAATGAAGATACAGAGCCAAAAACATTCTAAAATTTGAATGATGGCAGCAGCTAGATGCATGTAATTGGTATTGACATTTTGTTTTAGAAAATGTGTGTGTAGGTGTGTATGTGTGTTGGTGTGTTGGTGTGTGTATGTGTGTTGGTGTGTTGGTGTGTATGTGGGTGTGCTGGTATGTGTGTGTGGGGAGGTAAAAATTTGATATGAATCCTTTCTTTTTACTAATAAAGGGCATCATAAGAAAATTGAAATAAAACACTGATCAGTATTAAGTGAACTGCCAAAGTGTGTTATGTACACTAGTTTTTAGATAATAAACAAATGATAAAGTAAGGAATAAACCGCAAACCAATTCCGTGGAATGATGTTTGTCTTGTTCCCGATTTTGTGTTTATTGTCGTGGCTTTGTCAATTTGGTTATGACAAGTGGATTTGATTAAGTGCCTTTTGAATTTTCTGTTTTTCAGTTTCCAATTTGCGTGCCAACAGATATATTCAACTACAAAAGTCTACAGTATTAACATAAAAATAACACTACTGTGTTATAAATGTATATCTATAATATAATACAGATAAAGAAATAAATCACCTGATGCTAAGCATATCTTTTCTTTCATCTCATTTGCTTTTTCTGTTAAGGTTTGTGCGTGGCGAAGAATATACTGTTTTGAATTTGTATCACATGCTAAAATGGTAGGGAAATATAATATTTGTGCGTGTAATTTCCTAGAATAAATCATATTTTTTCAATTTGCATATGTACACAAAAAAACAAAAACAGTAACAATTTTCGATTTGTTGGAATAAGATACTAATTTTGAAACACTTTTAAAAAAAATATATACGCAGTCGCTGAGCCATTACAAATTGGCCAAGGATAATTGATCGTAGCTGAATAAAGTTTTAAAAAATGAAGAGCATATTATCCATGCCATCGGTCGTTGTAAAATATTTAGCATAAAAGGTCAATCCGTGGTAAAATCAGTATAAATTCAAGCCTAAATGAATTATTTCTCAATTGTATGATCTAAACAGCGTAATCTATACAATACTGTATGAAAAATATCACGACATTTGTGGCGGTTTGGGCATAAATGAGAAAACACAATTCATACCCAATTCTCTGGCTTTTTTCTCCAAAGAGGTTGCCTCAATATATATGGCTTCAATCTGTTTTTTAACTTCTTCCTTTTCTTCATGTCGCAATTCATGGAGGTCTTCCAAATTAAAGTTTTCCAAACCTGTAAGATATGGAAATGGCGGAATAAATAACGATGTTTCAAATATACACCGCGATAATGTATCATAATTTGACATTCCTTAACTATAATTTTGGAATTTGTGCAGTTTTTCTAGTTTTTGAAGTATTTGATTTGTACTATCAACCCTACGTTTCGAATTCTGATTTTAGGAATTGAATATTGGTCTTAATATGACCTCTACTATGATTAATGAAATAATTATGTTTGAAACTGTAACCATTACCTTCAAAATCGCCTGTTACACCTGTCATATTTCCTCTATTTAATTCACGAACAAAAAACCCTGTAATGAGAATGTGAAATATATCATATTTATTTTTAAAATGTCAACAAAATCTTTTTTTTTATTAATTGTATATAACCGGAGAAACCATGAGACCCCTTAAAAGTCATATAATTATATATAGGATGAACAGATTTAACCAAAATGAATTGCAGTTCAGGGTAATAAGAGGTTGCCTAAGACATTATTTGCGTCAGATTACCAAAAGTAAATAAATTATAGGATGGGTATCCAGAGATATCCATAATCATTATCTGTTTATGATGAGCAATATTCATATTCAATATAAATGTTGCGGGAAGTGTTAACCAAATTTAACATCTGGATAGTGTGAAACGAGATAATCGATGCCAATAAAGATTCATTAATTATGAATTGTGACCAGAACCTAAAGTTAATACCTGTGTATGGTGACCAAAGGTAACCACATTCCAAATCTGTAAAGGGTGACCAGAGGTAATTTAAGTAAATATATGTATACGATGACCGGAGGTAATCTCATTCAATAATATGAAAGGGTTACCCAATTCGAAATCTGTGTAGGGGGGCCAGAGGTAAACATATTTAATATCTGTGTAGAATGACCTGAGTTAACCACATTCAATACCATATTCAAAGTTTTGGTTGGGTGACCAGAGGTCACCCTATTCAATATCTTTGTAGGGTGACCAGAGGTAACCATATTCAATATCTTTGGAGGGTGACCAGAGGTAACCATATTTAAAGTTTTGGTTGGGTGACCAGAAGTAACCTTGTTCAATATATGTGTAGGGTGACCAGAGGTAACCATATTCAAAGTTTTGGTTGGGTGACCAGAGGTAACCTTATTCAATATCTGTGTAGGGTGACCAGAGGTAACCATATTCAAAGTTTTGGTTGGGTGACCAGAGGTCACCCTATTCAATATCTTTGTAGGGTGACCAGAGGTAACCATATTCAATATCTTTGGAGGGTGACCAGAGGTAACCACATTCATCATCTTGGCAGTGTGACCAGAGATTACCAAAATAAACAGCTTACTAGTAGATTTAATAAAGGTATCTACATTCAATATTTATGTATGGTGTCTAAAGATAAATAACTTTATATCTGTGTATGGCGACCCGAGGTTACCACATTCAAAAAAGGCAATTGCTATATATATATATGTGTGTGTTGACAATGGCAACATAATTCAATGTATGTGTACAGCGACCAGAAGTTGCTATATTAATTATAAAAGAAGCGCAAAAGTGTGAACCGGGATAACAGATGCTAACCAAATACATTATTTATGAATTGTAACCATAGGTAACATAAGCCAATTTATTGTAGGTTGACCAGAGGTTACCATGTTCAATATCTGTGAAGAGTAACAAGAGATAACCATACTCAATATTTTGTAGGGTGACCAGAAGTAACCACATTCAATATCTTTTTAGATGACAAAAAAAAACCATATCCAATATCTTTGTTAGGTGACCAGAGGTAACCATATTCAAAGTTTTGGTAAGGTGACCAGAGGTTACCATGTTCAAAATATGTGTAGGGTGACCAGAGGTAACCATAGTCAATATATGTGTAGGGAGACCAGAGGTTACCACATATAATATCTTTTTAGGTGACCAAAGATAACCATATGCAATATCTTTGTAAAGTGACCAGAGGTAACCTTATTCAATATTTGTGTAGGGTGACCAGAGGTAACCATATTTAAAGTTCTGGTTGGGTGACCAGAAGTAACCTTATTCAATATATGTGTAGGGTGACCAGAGGTAACCATATTCAAAGTTTTGGTTGGGTGACCAGAGGTAACCTTATTCAATATCTGTGTAGGGTGACCAGAGGTTACCATATTCAAAGTTTTGGTTGGGTGACCAGAGGTCACCCTATTCAATATCTTAGTAGGGTGACCAGAGGTAACCATATTCAAAGTTTTGGTTTATTGAACAGAAATAACCTTATTCAATATATGTGTAGGGTGACCAGAGGTAACCATATTCAAAGTTTTGGTTGGGTGACCAGAGGTAACCATATTCAATATCTTTGGAGGGTGACCAGAGGTAACCACATTCATCATCTTGGCAGTGTGACCAGAGATTACCAAAATAAACAGCTTACTAGTAGGTTTAATAAAGGTATCTACATTCAATATTTAAGTATGGTGTCTAAAGATAAATAACTTTATATCTGTGTATGGCGACCCGAGGTTACCACATTCAAAAAAGGCAATTGCTATATATATATGTGTGTGTTGACAATGGCAATATAATTCAATGTATGTGTACAGCGACCAGAAGTTGCTATATTAATTATAAAAGTAGCGCAAAAGTGTGAACCGGGATAACAGATGCTAACCAAATTCATTATTTATGAATTGTAACCATAGGTAATATAAGCCAATTTATTGTAGGTTGACCAGAGGTAACCATTTTCAATATCTGTAATTGTTTACCAGAGGTTACCTTTTTCAATATTTGTGTACGTTGATCAGAGGTTACCACGTTCAATTTATGACCGAAGTTTACAAAATTAAATATTTAAGTAGGCTAACTATAGGTAACCAAATTAAATATTTATGCACGGTGACTAGAGGTAATCAAGTTTTCTATCTGTGTAAGATAAGAGGTAACCACATTCAAAATATGTGAAGGGTGACCAGAGGTAACCCAATTCAGTATTTGTGTAGGGTAATTTGAGGTATTTAAAGTTCATATATGTATAGGGTGACCAGAGGTCACCAAATTCAATATTTTAGTAATTTATGTATGATTAATCATATTAAAACTCTTGCACAGTCATCAGTACATTTTCATTATTACCGGACTTAAGAAAGAACTCACACGATGGGAGCGTTCAAGACATGATTAAGAAGATTCCTGTTGTTCCTTACTTTTTTAATGTTGTTGTAAATTTCTTTTGATATATCTGTTTACTCCTTGGTTTTGATTGTATTTGTCTTAGTAGGGTGACCAGAGATTACCAAAATCAAGACATATTTAGGGTAACAAGAGGTAGTTAAAGCCAGTATATAGGTTTTGAAACCGAACATAACTCAATTAAAAGTATTTGAAAGATGTCCAGATATAACCGTGATCATTATCTGTGTAGGATGGCAAGTTTATAACTAATTCAAACATCTGTGTTGGGTGACCAGAGGTTTCCATATTCAGTATATGTGAAGGGTGACCAGAGGTAACCATATGCAATATCTTTGTAAAATGACTAGAGGTAACCTGATTCAATATATGTGTAGGGTGACCAGAAAGAACCATATTCAAAATTTTGGTAGGGTGACCAGAGGTCACCATATTCAATATCTTTGTAGGGTGCCCAGAGGTAACCATATTCAACATCATTGTAGAGTGATTAGGGTTAACCATATACAACATCTTGGTAGGGTGTCCATATATTACCAAATTAAACATCTAAGTAGGGTTATTAAAGTTAAATAAATTCAATAGTTATGCACAGTGTCTAAAGATAAAAAATAGAATATATGTGTAGGGTGACCAGAGGTCACCACAATTAATTATGTAAAAGGTGACAAGGTGCAACAAAATTCAATATCTGTGAAGGCTTGCCGGGTTGACAAGAGGTAACCAAATTCAATATCTTATAATGTTTATTGCAATTCAATACATGTGTTGGGTGACCAGAGGTCACCACAATTAATTATGTAAAAGGTGACAAGATGTATAGAAATTCAATATCTGTTTAAGGGCCATTCAATATCTATATCTGTGTCAATTAATTAGAAGAACCACTGTAAATTTATCTGCAAAGGAAGTAAGGTTAATAAAGTTACTATGCATTTTGTATCAAATGACCAGTGTAACTATATGCACTATTATTTTCTGTATAGGGTGACCAGAGGTAACCAATGGCAGTTTAAAGGTACCCGAGTTCGAGGCATACCATCTTTTTAGTTATATTTCATGAGAGTGCAATATAGGCCATTAGGTTATTTTTTTTTTTCTGAAAAATAAGCCATATCACTCGTTAATAGAGTTACAGATGAATCTTCTATGCATTTTCAATTGTTTGTTTTGAGTGAATCATTATGATTATTGATTATTTGTGTATTATTTTTAACTTTTTGTACCTCTCTCAACAGTATCCTTTGAAATATGGTGATTCCAGAACTTTGCATTAAGCTCATATCCGTATTGTATAACAGCAATTATAACCTGAGTATGCTGCACTGAGTATCCCCTTAGTAACGTACTTTCACTTTAAACCGGAAATCATGTACTATTTTTTGTCGCGTATGGACTCAATTTTAACCGTTTCTGTTCAGGTGACCAGTGGGCACCGTTCAGCGTAACTATTATCCTTGTGACATGTCGATATATTTTATCTAACTCTAGTTTTTTGTCGAGCCTTCGACTTTAGTCGAAAAAGCGAGACATAGCGATCCTACATTCCGTCGTCGGCGTCGTCGTCGTCGTCGGCGGCGGCGGCGGCGTCCACAAATATTCACTCTGTGGTTAAAGTATTTGAAGTTTTAATAACTTTCTTAAACTATCCTGGATTTCTACCAAACTTGGACAAGAGCTTGTTTATGATCACAAGATAGTATCCAGAAATAAATTTTGTAAAAAAAAAATTATTTTTTCCGTATTTTACTTATAAATTGACTTAGTTTTTCTGCTAGGAAACAATACATTCACTCTGTGGTTAAAGTTTTTAAGATTTCAATAACTTTCTTAAACTATCCTGGATATGTACCAAACTTGGACAGAAGCTTGCTTATGATCAAAAGCTTGTATCTCGAAGGAAATTTTGTCAAAATTTTGTACCTGTTTATCCGTATTTTACTTATAAATGGACTTAGTTTTTCTTCCAGTCAACATTACATACAGTATGCAGTTAAAGTTTTTAAAACATTTATTAGATCCATAAACTATCCTAGATTTATACCAAACTTGGACAGAAGCTTCTTACAATCAAAAGATAGTATCGAGAGGAATATTTTTATTGATTTTTTTTCTCATTTTTGTTGAGCCTGCGATTAACAGCAAAAGTAGGCGAGACACTGGGTTCCGTGGAACCCTTACGAATTTTTTTATCAGATGACAAATGAGAGTGTGGATAACATTTGATGTAGAATAAGAGTTCGAGTTCCAGCTAAATTTAGAGTTAAACTTCCAGTTTTATTTTTTGTTCGAATATTAATTCGAGTAAGAGTTCTAGTTAAAGCTCGAGTTCCACTTAGAAACTTCCGAGTTATACTGTAAGATAGAATAAATACTGGTAAGAGTTAAAATTTTGAGATCTGAGATCCGATGAAATTAAAAGAAAGATTTCAGTTTCTAATTTCTGTTGATGCACCTCTCTTTCTTGAATTGTATATTCTTTTATCACATTTATGTTTCAGTATGGTATAGCCTATATACTTTTTTTTTGCCAAAACTGATTAATGATAGGTACATGTAATTGGAAAATAACTGATTGATTGTGTGTGCCACTTTCAGCACTCTGCTATATCACATTGGCCATTATTTTTTAAAGAACCAAGGTATCAAGAGTAAATCAGCTACCTCTGTATTAAACAAATGGTTGTCCTTTACAGTCATGATCGGAATCTGACAATCTCCCTATATCACTGTTTGTTGACATGCAAGTGATCACATTGAGTGATGTGAACACGAACCAACATCTGAACTACTAGTTTTTGTTTTGTTTTTGTTTTCGTTTTTTTCTTGATTTTTGCAAACCTTTCAGTGGCAAATATCACATGAATATCAGCACAAATTTTTTTTCTATATGAGATGAATACTCTTTCACAAGACGGACCTTAATGTGATGGTTACAGATTAGCACTCTGAAAGACATGTAACTCTACATAAATACATGTGTGTGTATTAAATATTTCTCTTGTTGGAGTCTTGTAAAGCCAAATATACAGTGTGGATTTTTTGTTGTTGTTGTTGTAGGCAGTACGGTCATCAATAGTACAAAAATAACTAGGCATAGTGTTTGATATTCCCAGATTGCTCTGACGTCTTTTACAGTGATGTTTAACTGTCGTTATTCTTATATAACGTTTGATATTTCAACAAATATGATTACTCTACGAATCACTCGTGTTCATGTGTTTGTGCCCCCATACCCCCCTTTCCCCCCAAAAAAAAGGAAACAAGAGAGAGAGAGAGAGAGAGAGAGAGAGAGAGAGAGAGAGAGAGAGAGAGAGAGAGAGAGAGAGAGAGAGAGAGAGAGAGGCGTTTGACACCAAAGGAACATCGAAACTCATTGTTCTTATTTACATCCCTCTGTTGGACAGAAAACTACAAATTCCGGAAGCTGTACGCTTACATGCTGTTACTCTTGGTATATTGTTATTTTTTCCAGTATATTCCCACCATATCAAGACCACTTTCGGCTATTTTTTTGCCATACATTTTGTCCGTTTCGAGTAGCATTTTCATTTTTTGCACTTAAATCAAAACGTCATTTGCTTTCTCTTGATTTAGTGAACGTCCCTTTGAGGCCGCCATTTTAGAAATTAGCAACCTTTACGACGGACTCGAAACGGCGACGTCATAATACGGTCACGACTATAGTGGCGCCGAGAGCGATGCGTATAAACAATAGTGTGATTTCCCTTTAAAATAAAAAGTCAAATACTTTACCATGTTTTACTCTCAGACACAGCTGTGAACGAAGTTGTAATAATTTCGCAATTAAGCCAGACCTAATTAAATGAATATTATATTATTAACACTTTTATATAATATAGAAATGAGATATAAACAAACCTGTGTTATTACTCGTATACTTACACTAAGCAAGGAATTAGTATTGTCTATATGTCATATATCTTCATATTTGTATATTTGGAGAAAATTGTGTTCAACTTGGTAATGGATCATTAATAGTTTCTTTTTAATTTATGAACAAATAGTTGTTTAAGATCCCGTTTATTGATCTTTAGATGACTTTTTGTGATTTGTGTTGTTGGGTTGCTGTCTTATTAATGTTTAAACCAATATTTGAAAGAGTAAATGAGAAACTTAGTTACTTTAACCAAATTGGTAAAAAGTAAAATAACAAAAATATCGAACTCCATGGAAAATTCAAAACGGAAAGCTCAAAAAACATCAAACAAATAAATGACTAAGTAAGAACACAGTGAATGAATTATATTAAGTAAAACAAAATTATGTTCATTTTGAGAAAGCTATCATAGTAAATCTTAAGCACACTGTTTAACTTTTAACACTATAAATGAACGCACTACTGCTACAATTTGAAACTATAAACTTGTTTTTAGACCTGACATATTGAAGAACTGTCGGATTAACGAGTCCATCTTCTTTTAAAAGAACTTGTCTATGATGTTGATCATCAGGAGAGATGACCAAAAGGTTTTTCGTTTTTCGTCTTAGCACCAACGACAAAAATGTGTCCATCATTATCTACAGAAATTCCCAATGGAAAGCTTAAAGCACTTTTATCACTGAATGTCCATGTTATGTTACCTTGAATGTCCGTGTAGAAAAGCTTTTCATCAAATGTTGCAAGTTACACATGAGACAACATTTTGTTTGTCATTACACGTGTCACGGATTCGTCTTCAAGATTGATTGAATACAATCCATTATCGTTCTTATTGCCAGAATAGATTAAGTCATCATCTCTAAAAACAGCTCCATAGTTATCTGTTTCTATGCTTAATGACCTGATAAGTTTTCTGTTCTTTAAGTCAATTATGTTAATGTGTCTTGAGTCTTCATGACCCCCTGTGGTGAAAGCAATAGAATCATCTTCAATGTATGCAACGTCAAAAGCACGACCAATATTCTTCATTTCAAACTCTTGTGAACCTTCTGCTTTAAAAACGTTCAGTTTTCTTTCTGTATAACACGGGAACACCATTCTACCATCAGGGAGTACAGTACAACCTCGTACATTTGAGGGAGTGTGATATATATAGAATAAATGGATCAAAATCAAATATGTTTCTTCATGTAATATTCTGCTTTCACTCTGTTATTTCCTTTAAATTAAAATGTATGTTATATGTATTATGTTTGGCCTTAATACACAACTGTAAAATGTTATAAGATTTTTTGTTTGTATTTTATATTAATTCCTGTTTTCCCCCGTTCCGTTTCGTTGTGTGTGTGTGTAGGTGGGTGGGTGAGTTTTTTTTTCTATTTTGGTCCTAGATGTACAAACAATAAGCTTCTGTTTTCAAGTGACTTTTTTGCTAACAATACATGGAAGGGAATATCCGACATAATTATAAATTTCTTAATTTTTAAAATGCAATTTCTATTTTGTAAAAATGCAATTTCTTAATTTGTAAAATGTAATTTCTTTATCTGTATCATGTAATTTTTCCATTCATTAAGGTGGTACATAACACTACAGGGAGATCACTCTGTAAACATCAGCTAAACGTTTTAATCACGTTCTATTGTTAAGGAAATGTTAAGTTTCTCAATGAACAAAATTAGTGTTTGTCATCTTGCTGTATATCCAATGAAATTTTCCGATAAAGTGTGTGGTTCAAGTTTTTTGAAATTTTTTTATTTTTGTCAAAGGGTGAAAGAAAATATTTTGTCAAAATTTTATGAAAATTAAACAAGCCGAATTAATTTTAGTCAAATTGTTTGGTACCACCTTAAATGAATTTCTAAATTTCTTGATTTGTAAAATATAACTTCTAAATGTGTAAATGCAATGTCCTAATTTGTTAACTTATTTTCTTCGCTTGTTACATGAAATTCTACATTTCTTAAGTTGTGCATGTTGTGAAATGTATTTCTTTGTTTGAGTCACATTTTGGGAGAATGTGTCAGTGTAATTATTACCGCTGCCAGCTAATGAGAATTTCCTTTTTCAAGAAAAACTACAAGTTACAAATCAACAAGCAACCAATCAAGAATGAAATAGCTTCCACAAATTCCGCACGAGCGGGGCTCTCTTTCGTCAAATGAACATTATGTTACATACAAAAGTTCTTTGTAGCAAATTAATACTAACGACGGTATGAAGTTCTGGCCCCGCATCAATCCATCCTTAGCCTATCCGAAATGTATAATTATGGCGGATATTCCCTTCCATAACAATACGTGTTCCATTTAATATTGAAATACAATCCGAAAATGAAAAAAAAAAATATAGGAAAATCATTATTTTCTTACAATCATGATTGTCGTCGTA